CCAGGATGGATGCATGGTAATAAGTCTGTATGTTAGGGACTGACAGTCCACTGGCCTTTTTGGGAGCTTGCATGAGGCTCATTGCTACTCTTGATCTACCTCCCGCCTAAATAAATTTCATAAGCTTCGCTTGGGTTGTTTTGAGGAATGTCAGGGGCAGTTCTGTTGGGAGTGTCTAAAACAGATATTGAAGTCTGGGAAGTATGGACAATGAGATGCAATTTTGATTGGTAAATTGCTAAATAAATATAGCCAATTTGGTACTATATTGTCATGTATTCATCTGCACATAAAAATGTGATTAATGGCATTTATTGTCCTGACAGGAAAAGTTGTGCTGAGCAGCAATCAATCCACAGGAGGGTTTGTGCTGAGCAGCAATCATGCAAATAGGAACCTGGTAACTGCCTTTGGGGTCAAAGGCCAGTTACAACTAATCAGATCCAGAGGATTGAACATGGTCATAAAATACATAAATCATACATAAGGTCTGTCCATCAAGCCCAGTTCTCCTCTTGCTCTGTGCCCTGTCGTGGTTTCCCTTGTGGTTGTCCAAGAGCGCATAATTGATTCATTTTTTTCTGGTTATTTGACTTTGGCATTGATATTGACTTCCCTGTTTTCTGGCATCCCTGATCCCTGGCTTTTCGTTGTGTCTCTTTCTGTATCACTTGACCTCGGCTATTCCTGACTATTCTTTGGTACGTTAGTCCAGCCATTCTAAGGTCCAGTATACGTTACCTATCAGTCCTCTGTGTTACACAATTCTACGTGCTGGATCATACTGTAATCCTGACATATATAAGATTGTATTGTGTTAATTCTCCTGGTTGAAGATATCGCAAGGTGTTTCCAATTATCCAATAAATGATTTGTTTCTTTCAGGAGAATTAAAATTTTTCCTTCCATCAGTTCTACGACTTTGCCTGTTACTATTATACCAAAATTTAAAAAATGTATACACATATATAAAATTAAAATGGGTCTTTAGTAAGAGCAATGAGTCTTATTAAGCTTGCAATTTGACACATGGGAGTATTCTTGAATAGACTTCATTAAGGCTGGCAGCTTAGTAAGTGGATCTGTAATGGTAATCAGAATATCATCAGCATATAAACTAATTTTATATTCTTCATTATTAATAGGATATCCTTTGATTGAGTTGTTTAATCTTATGGCTATTGCCAACATTTCTATGTAATAATGTACAATAAAGGTGATAAAGGGCAGCCTTGTCTAGTCCCTTTATTGATATCGAACCAGTCCGATTTTATGTTTTGGCCAACTGTTCTTGCAGAATGGTCGGAATACAGAGCTCTTATGGCGTTTAATACAAAACCGTTCAGGTCCATTGCTTGTAAAGACTGAAACATGAAATCCCAGTCCACCTGGTCAAAAGCCTTCTCAGCATCAAGAGAAATAATCAATCAATTGTTTGTTTTTTTAAAGACCCAACTTTAGTAGATCCCATAAGTTTTTTGACCATGACGCTGTTAGATGCCTGTAGAGTCCATTCTATCCAGTGCAGTCCAAATTATTTCTGTTAAATGGGGAGATGGTTGTCATATGCAGCCTCTATTTGATGTTATATATATTTTTTACATTTCTTTTTATTCTTTAATGCAGAATTTCCCAGTTTATGTGGTAGGCACCAAATATATTTTACTTTTGATAGGGCTTTGACAGCATCTGGGAAGTCAAGGTCAGACATGACTGACATAGACATATCTACTGTCACATATTATACCTGCACATGCTGGTATTTTATTACATATCAATATCACCATGTACAGGGCTTCATATAAGAAGCATATCCACCAACCTTAATAAACAGCAGTGCAGTTAAATAAATACGTAGATGAAACATTTAAACAAATTCTCTATTTTGTAATTGTATTTCATAGTCAGTTTTGCTGTATAATTCTAGTATGAAAATACAATACTCACAAATTATTTTAGTCTAGAACAGTGATGGTGCACCATGCCATTCCAGGCATTACTGAACTACATTTCACAAATGTGCATTTAGATAAAAGGAAACATTCGGAAACCACATTATCAATAGAAAATGTATGAACGTTGTTGTTTTATTCCTTCTGTAGTAAATATAATGGAGTACCAAGGTGAGCAATTACTGTTCTAGAGCCAAGATTACACTGTATAAATGAGAATCTAGTTTTGTCACACCCACTTCACTGCCCTCAGACTCCTGTCTGTATATATCCATCTGTATTAGATTATTTCTCAAACAAAATTAAATATACAAATATTCTAATTATATATGTAATGGTACATTTATTTCACTGCAGGATCCAGATGTGATCAATACATCCTTACCGGTAGAATATGGACCTGTGATTGAGGAAGAAGAGAAGGTTCCAACTCGTCCAGAAGACCCTGATGTAATTCCACCATTGCTTGTTACACCTGAAAAGAAAGTTAAAGAAATCATACACAAGTTGCAGTCTCCCCCTCCAGTGCCACCCAGCAGTCGTGGAAAAGTTCCTAATAAAGTGCATGCTGAACCACAGGAACATGTAGATTCCACATTCGCTTTGGGTGGAGGACATGACAATACTGTGTTTGCACAAGCCAACCACCCATCCGAGCTACATAGTAACAGAGGGTCCAAAAATAAACCAACTAATCTCTGGAATCCAACGTACGGTTCCTGGTTTACGGGAAAAACTTTGCCAAAAAATTCTCCATCTCCAGATCAACCAATACCTGCAGAAAGAGAATCCTCTGGAAACCCTGGGGTAATTAATGAGGGGACCTGTACAGCTGCCCCACGGATTACTTCTGGTAGACTGCCAGGCTCTTCCGTGCTCTTAGAGCCATCCACACTGACTTCCACTGTTCAGGAAGTGCCCCTGTTCAGGCTTCGCCATTTCCCATGTGGCAACGTTAATTATGGATATCAGCAGCAGGGCCTGCCCATAGATGTACCGGTGCCACCATGCCCTGTGAAACACAAAGACTTGCCACCTAGGAGCAAGAATGAGACACAAGAAAACTTCTAATTTCTGCAGGCATGGTTTCCTTTATTGAGAATAAGCCAACAGGTATATTTGCAGTATGTGTAAGGACTTACTTACGAATGAAATCCCTTCATAAACTACAGGCATCTATACCTTAATAACGTCCACTTCAAGGGTTGATGGACAGACCTTATGTATGATTTATGTATTTTATGACCATGTTCAATTTCATCTTTGGGTTTATAAAAGTGCTCTCTACAGAAATAACCACTTTGTGCATCCAGAAAATGTTGGAATTAGAGCCCATAGCAATTTCCTGCTCCACATTTGGTGTGCAGACCACCACGTCCAGCCAGTTTAAAGGAGAAGTAGACCACCTATGACAGAGGCATCAATCTAACAGGGACCTTGGTTATCTTCTGTTGGAGTATATGTTTATTTCATTTTTTTCCTTTAGGGTTTGTGTTTTGTTTTTTTTAACTTTTATGAGAATGTCCACAAGTGGAGTTTTAACCTTTTACAGGGATAGACTATAGGATGGTTTGTGCAGTATGGCTGCTAAAATTGCGATTGTATGAAAGAAACTTGGGGATTAGCAAATGTAAATAGCATGTCAGTTTGTAGATATGTCTTCTTACTTTGCTTGATCATTTAAACAGAAAGAGTATTTTTGTGTTAAAAAGTGCTCTGCCCTTGTGTATTATAGTCACTAAGCATCCTTGATGGACATACGTTGTGTTCCACCAAAACATAGCCAATAAATAAGGAAGTGGCTGAATGAGAATCATGACAAATCAAGCCAATAGCTGAAGTGCCAAAGCTTAGACATTATTGTCCTTTCAAGTTTTAGTCTGACTCAGTCCATACTTTGTTTACCAACTTTAGCTTCTGTTGACCAATAGTTTTTTCCTGTCTGTTTCGGTTTTTGCTAGCATATGACTGATTACTCAAACAGAAGTAAAAACCTGCATGCTGATGGGAGCTGTGGTCTTTAAGATGGGGGAAAGCTGGAGTTCTTCCCACCTTAGCCTGAAAAGACCTGATTTAAGCCCCCAAGCTTGACCTTGAGAACTTGTAAAAGTCCAAGATTTAAGGATTACCCAATCTGGTTATCCTTAAAGCTCAGAATGCTGGATGTCCTTGTGTCTGTCTTAGAATCCATATCCCTAGATTATGCTGTCAAGACTGCTGCTCATGAAGATATTTATTAACCTTTCTTCACAAGCACGTCTCCGTATGAAGTTTGCAAAATCCTCACCTTAGAGAGGTCAGCTAGCTGACTTTTCTCATCCCCGAAGCATTGAATAGAAAGACAAAGAAACTGCTGAATCATTTCTCGCCTGCAGTGACACCTTTAAGTCTTTTATTGCCATATCTTGCTGCAGGCATAGCTTGCACACTTCAATCAGCTATACACCCTTGAGGATACATTACTTTATTTGTGATGCGGCTAACACATTCTGTAATTAAATTCAAACTAATATTAGTTTTTGCCAAAAAAAAAAAAAGAAAATCAGCAATTTGAAATAACTTCATTGTAAAACTTCATAAGGTTAAACTAAAGAACTACGTTGAATTTATGGAGAGTCACAGTGCACAATTGTTCAGTTTCATTTTATCAAGTGGATCTGTCACCCAATAATGTGACAATGACAAGGTCCGGGCAGGAAAGAAATGAATTCTAATCCATGCAGTTGGATCGCCTATTATCTATTAAATATTCAATGTTCCCCAAATAGAATTAGCTCGATGTACGTGTGCGCACTCCTGTACTGTTTGACAAAAGACATTGGTATACCGGGGGGTACTGCAGACTCTGAGTTCCAGGACTCAGGGTCTGCAATCAGGTTGTACCTGCTTAATCACAGGTGAATCTCAATTACTGAAAGACATTAACTGTCTCATGCTTAAAGCAGAGCTGGTTGTACTGAGATTAACCAAAAGTCAGGAGGTATGTCTTGTGCTTTAGTTTTTCTAAATATTTCTATAGTTATTATTTTTTAAATTGCTTTTCATTTAGTATTTACATGGCATATATAAGGCATGGCATGTAAATTACATTAACTCCTGCAATGCCAGGAACATAGATGAACAGGGCACTATTAAAGCACGTACATACTCATACTGCCTTTCTGTGGCTGGTGTTTGAATCTCTAATGACTAAACTCTAATTAGATTTAAGGGGATTTTCTCTGTAGTCCTTTCTAAAAGGATTTTCCTTTATGTGCGACAGGATTGTAGTCTCTGAATTTCAGGTGGAGGATTAACCTGAGCATATTCTTAAAGGAATACTATAATGTCAAGAATACAAATTTGTATTCCTGACACTCTATTCCTGAAGTGGCTGTTAAGGTAACCATCTCCCCAACCCCCAATCCCAGTAAAAGGGTGATTTTACCAAACTTTTCTTCCATGCCGTGCCAATCTCGCCTCCATGGCTGAGATCATCAAACTTGGTACACTGCGCCAATCAGCACCTCCTCATAGAAATGCATTGAATTAATGCATCGCTGTGGGAAACATTCTGCGTCTCCATGCAGTGCGTGGAGACACTGAGCGTATGTGCAGCACTAAGCTAGGAAGCAACTCTAGTGGCCGTCCGAGTGATTGTCACTAGAGGTGTTGCTATGCACCAATGTAAACACTGCCTTTTCGTATACATTGAAAAGACTGCAGGGACAAGCTATAGACACCAGGATCAATACATTATGTCCCTTTAAGGTTACATTTGGTTTTTTAAAGAATAAACTCCATGATTAAAACGTCCCTTTTCCCTACTGATTCATGAAGCCTTCAAAGAGAGAGAAATCTGTGCAGCAATGACGTGACTCTTTTGGTTTCTCACACAACAGAACAATGTGTTTTCCAGCCACTGAAACATCTTAATAGGCCAACATATCATAGCGCGGACATAGCTGCAGTGCGAAAAGCGTGTGCCCAAAGGCTCCTTTTCTGGCTTGATATGTTGGGCCATTCAATGCCATGACCAAGTATAAATAATGTGACATTCTCTAGAGCCAATGGGGCAACAAACCATGCTGTCCAAAGACATTAACTTGAAATAATTTAGAACACGACATTCTGCAGTGGATGGGATTTGGAACTTATCATTAAATCCATATTTCATAGTATCAGGTATGACATGTAAGATGGAATCTTGTATCTAATGCGAGAACTTCAAAGAACATTGCTGGCTTCACCACATTGATTATGATTTGTATTGCTCTGATATATTCCACAGAACTCCACGTAGGAGTTATAAAATCAACGAATAAATGAGGAACAAGTTCAGGTAACGTAAGAAACAAGAGGTGGATACAGCCCTGCTAAGAGCTTCTTATACTATGGTGCTGTGCGGGCCAAGTGTAGTAAAAATAACAAATAAAATGAGCAGTGTTTGTCTGGGTACTTACCTAGTGAATTTTACATGAGAACGGCCAGAACACACCAGCTATAGAAACTCATCCAGCTCACAAAAAGTATTGTTTGTATTTCATCTTAACCAAGTTAGCTGTCAAAAGCTCCTCTCTGTAGGATAAATATTGTGTCTACCAATCAATGCTTGGAGTTTGACGGCTTAGCTGAACTTTATGGAGTGTTCAGTCTAGGGAATTATTCACTAAACAGTGAGCTGAAATGAGTTGATAAGTCACAAAATATAAGACAAAGTAGGTGACTTGAAGTTAAAAAGTTTCACTGTCTGAGTTTTTCTTACTTTACTGGAAATAAAGTTATAATAACATCAGAACAAAAGATAATATGATCTAGGAGTCTGGTATAATCCAGTACTAAAAGACAAAGTAGTTGAACCCAGTGCAGCTATTGTGTGTAATCTGCTGTAGCCCCCACAGCAAGCAAGCTATAGTAATCCCAAGTATTCACCCACAAAGCGCAGCTTAGTTATAGAGGCCTACTAGGGGTCCCATAACGTCTGTACTGTGGATGCTCTTTGAATAAATTTGGGCTGCACTAGTGAGCCCCTATAACTAAACTGTGCTATGTGGATGAATACTTTAGCTTAACATCAGAACAAGCACCAATCATTATTGAATGTGCAGAAGAGAAGCAGGTTCTATGGTTTTGTCTGATATTTCACACAGAGATGACAATTCACCCTTTACTGAGTTGGTTACATTTTGCTGCTAAAATTTGGAGACGTTTTCTTAAGTTATTTTGTGTGCACTCTCCTAAGTGCTAGTTCAGCAGTTCTTTGTGGTCTGTATATAGTACATAGTGCCTTGTATTTTTTTACTAACACTGTCCTGATGTCAAAGGCCCTCCAGCCATTTTCAAAGGATTAAACCCCAAGAGATGGGGACATGTGCCATTTCTGAACTGTGATGAATTTGGTAAAAATATGTCAAGAATAATAATAATAATCATTATGATTATTATTATATACTGTTTTAGAAAGTCCTACTGAGCAAATATAATAAGAATGTACAGAAAGTGCACAGGGGATGCAAGGTACATGTTAGGGTTCTAGATCGTTACACCTGAAATACTGAGAACAGGGGCAATACCTTCCAAAATAATATTGTTTAAATTGTCATCAGATTCACCACTATCTGTGGGCATCTGAGAATTCTGGGTTTATCCGTGGGTCTTCGAGTGTTACTGGCCTGTAAATACAGTTATTTTTACTGGTTTAGTCCAATGCAAATTCTTATTCAATAGCCACCTAAACTTCACATTTTCAGGGTTCTTCACTACTCAATTTTTTTTGAGAATTAACAGGAAAAAAATCTCCAGCTCAGCCAGAGTTCCAAAGTGGCTATTTTTGCATCCGCTTTTCCCATTTGGATTTAATTTGCAAGAATTCCAAATTTAGTGAATAACGTTTCTAATGTGTAAGCACTTGGCTTATTTCTTATTTTAATTTAATTTCAGAATCTGGTTATTTTTCATGCGTGCATTTGCAATGAATATTATTGTAAAATCTACCTACGAAGCTGCTGGCATTCCTGCATGTCATGTTCTAGAATTCTACACTTGCCGGCTGGGGTTGATAGGATATGTAATGTTTGATTTATGTCCCTGTCTCCATTCTGGGACTGGCAATCCTACTGCCATTTGAAAAAGAACTACTTGGTGACCTGGAGATGCTGCAGATGTGTTCCTCCTCTCCTCTCACTCAGGTGGACAAACTATAAGATGTTTAAATAGTGGGATAATCCACTGATCACGACAACTGGCTTCCCAGAGATCCTAGTGGGCGCGTATAAAGTGATTGACGGATATGAATAGAGAGTAGGTCACTATAACTGGCAATGGTAAAGTTCTAAAGTACTATGTGGAAAAAAAGCATTTATCCCCCCCTCATTCCTTGTAGATTATTAATTTATTTTTACCATTCTTTTTCCATTGTCTCGCTGTGAAATGTCAATTCTATATGCCCTTTTTGGGGACAAGCCCTAAAAGATTTAATTTATGTATTTAATGTTCAGGTTAAATGTTCCTGTTTTCAGAAGACTTATAGTAAAAATAAAAATGGTTAACAAAATGCAGTTAATTAATGGATAAAATCCCACATCTTATTCAATCCATTTGTCCTGGTGGCTTATACGCCTTTAGACGAAAGTAGATATAGATGTGTTTTTTGTCTGTCACTTTGGGGATTGCAAATTTTTCTGAAAAATGCCAAAAACGACCCCTCTGACTCTTTGTATAAGGAGCAAACGGATGACCTGTCCCAGATATTGTATTATAATCTGCGGGCATCTCAAAATCCTACAAAGGGCTCCTTCACAGGTCCATAGACTCTACATACTTGTGTTTGATGCAAGGTATCAGAGTCCATTCTGTACAGTTGCTTCCGTAATGCCTGCTCATTATAAAGACATTTATGCAATTAATATTAATTATTATTAATATAATTTATAAGGGCCTGAACAATTCAGGGATAATGCTATGTGCTAAATGTATCATATAAAATAAATATTCATTCAAAGTATTTTGTATCCATTACTGTATTTGTATTGTACGTGTTGTGTGTTGAAGCATGACCTTCAATAAAAGTCCTATACTCGATCATGTTTCCATTTAATACAAATGGCTTACCACTTGGCAGTTTGTGGAGGAAATATGTGTGAATTACTGGTCAATAAGAGCCGGGTATAGGCTCTGACACATGTGAGTAGATTGGCCAAAATGCTTTGTTTTACGGTCTGCACTTTCAGTTCTGTTTATTTTGTTATTATATGTCACAAGCGTAACATATTGAAATAAAATCTGGAAACATTTATATTCATGTTTTAACTTGTTTCTTTGCTATTCACATTTATATATAAATCAGACAGTGGTATAGAGAAGATAATTCAAAGTCTATTTATTTAAAATATTGACTTTAAAAAGTAATATTTCAACTCTCCTGGATAAATGAACCAATGCATTACTCACAGCATTGTTATCAGAATACAAGGTTACTAACATGTTGCAAAAAATATTGCACTGTCAGGAAGGCCACATCTGATGCAATCCAGAGTTTGCTAGCTTTTATGGTTGGGTACCCTTTAAAGGTAAGTTGGTGTAGTTTGTTCAGAGGTTCGAGTTTTAGGTTTAGAATTGGAGTAGTGTTTTGGATTTGGGGTTAGATGGCACTCTTAGTTTCTTGGGGTCCTCACCTTAACTAAGGAGGTAAAGTGAGGCTGTAATAACCCGGTGATATATATTGATATATGCCACAACCTACTCACAGCTCCAGGTGCCTGTCATTCTGTACGCCAGATTTAGCAGCCCCTCTTTTTCCAGTTGTATCTGATGTTCCCTCTTAATACGGTGTGTATAAAAGGGACCTTAGTGAGAGAGCGGAGATAAGATGTGATAACCAAACCCCTCTCCTTGTCTCTGCCTCCTGCGCAGCACAGAGGAACTGCAGGAGCTGTTCTTTGTACCAGCTCCCATCAACCAAGTAGGGTAGGGTAATGTGCCTGGCTGGGGGTAATGGGATTATTGAGATGGAGTAAGGTGATTTGGACTGAGGGTAACAAGTGGACTGTGGGGACTTATATTTGGGGTATTTTTCTATGGCCTCACAAAATCTAGAGTCACCTCTACTTTCAACTAAAGTTTATTTTTTTATGTGCTGTTGGCTCTAATTTACACCATTCATTGCCAAACTCTATGTCTGTCTAAGCCTACAGAGAGCTACACACTCGCACATCCATTAACAACTCTGCTCTTAGTACTGCAACGCCATCACTGCATGTAATAATTGGTCATTTTCTCAACTCAACTTTTTTTTTTTTTTAAACTACATTTTTTTTTTTAAGAAAATCTATTTATAGAACATGCAGGTAGTTTGACACTTGACACACATATATAACTGATTTGACCAACACACAAATTGAAGAGTAGAAATTACAATGAATGAAACAAAGAACGATTTGCTGGCTGAAATTAGTTCTTTCATTCATTACAATTACAAGGAGGGGTCTACCGGATTGCGGATCCCTCGTTGTAATATTTAAAAATAGCAGCAGCCCGGCGCAGTGCTTCCTGACACTACCTATACCTTCCCCCGTGGCCCCCCTCACCCTTGGTCTGTGGGGGGCCAATATGACCCCCTATTATTATACTCATTGTAAAGCACTATGGAATTTGTTGGCGCTATATAAAAATAATAATAATAAGATAAAATCCTTCCTCCTGCCCCTACTCAACGTGCATGACCGTGTGTGCCAGTGGCTGCTCGCTTTTATAAAGAAAGACTAGCGACAGGGCCGCTATTGCTAATCCAATAAACTGGGACCTGGCACAGGTCTTGCATGCCCCCATTTTTAAAATAATGAACTGTGAGATGGGGCAATTAAAATAAATGAGGGGCTCCAGCTATTAAACAAAATGAATGTGGCCCCAGCCATGCCCCACGAGTGGGGGCTATTAAAATAAACAGTGTACCTAGTGTCCTCTTTCAGCCCCCACCCATGGCCACATGTGGTAACTATTAAATGAAATATACAGGATGCATAGTGTCCCCAAACCCCCACTCACTGGTGGCAGGTGAGTGCTCTAAAAGTAATAACAGGGAGACACAGTGTCCGCACCGCCCCCACCAACCTGTGTGTGGAGGCCCTAAATAACAAGGAGGTGACCATATTGTCTTCCCTCTGGTCCCCACTAATTGGCAGTGGGTGGGGATCTTAAATAATCAGGGTGCCACGCCACCTGTGGGTCGTGCTTTTATTCGGCATGTTCTCGGCATGGTCAGGGTCCAGAGGTTGCCGTGGCAGAATCAGTCTCTGGCAGTGGCACTCGCATCCCGCGTGTTAATTGGTGCCGGCCGCTGCACATCGGAGCTATTTAAAGGCTCCACCTATGAGTATGATGCACGCGTCATCCATCATGGCATTGCTAATAGTGAATCACAGCCCTCTAAGGGCTTTTTAAGCTCTAGTTAGGCATTGTTTAGTGCCCTCTCGTGATTTCTATTATGATATTCCGAGAGTGTGTTTATCTATTGATTCTACTGTGTTTTTTTACTAGTGGCTTGTACCTTGACTATTCTGACTTCTATTCTCCTTGTCCTTTGGCTTATCTTACGGCTTTGCCTCCTCTCTGTTCTCCTGACCCCAGCTTATCCTGGCAGTGGGTGGTTTCTCAAAATAACAAAGGGAGGCACATATACAAACTGTTGTAATTCCTACACCGTTCACCTGATTTGGATGTAAATACCCTCAAATTAAAGCTGAAAGTCTGCAGTTAAAGCACATCTTGTTCATTTCATTTCAAATCCATTGTGGTGGTGTATAGAGCCAAAAAGATTAGAATTGTGTCGATGTCCCAATATTTATGGACCTGACTGTATCTATTCCCTGATATAAATTAGATAGGGGTATGTTACGGTACCCTCAGCATGAAATGTACAAACCGCCGTTTAGTGAATGCTTCCCTCTCGCAATAGCATAGGCTGCATGCGTATCCAGTACAATCATGCGAACCGCAAGCAAGGGAACACTGCACACTCATGAACGGGATCCGTACGGGCACTTCACTCCACGAGCTCCAAACTCACGAATCGCCAATATTAGCCGAACGCATATATCTCCCAAGCAGCTAATAATTCCATCCAGCAGTCTCTAGTCATCGGTAATAAATCCCCCCAATAACGAGACCAAGCTCCGCATTGAGGGTAAAACAAGAACTGGCTTTACTGTGGGCTACCTGCCCGTATTTATGCAGCTCTCCCACTAGGTGGACACTCCCCTAGGGGACCAAATGGGAGACTGTGACAACAGACAGATATTTGGCAAGTCAGGACCCACAGACACAGAACATTCCCACAATGCATTAGTATTCCCTCCCCTCTGCCCTGGAGATAATTGAGAAGAAATTCAATTATCTCCAGGACAGAGGCAAATCGCCATTTTAAATTCAACACAGCAAAACATATGAAAATCTATAACTTTACTTTTGTCGAATGCTACCCATTCATATCACATATCCCCAGATAGCCTGGATCTGAGTGCATATTTTTGGCGAATAGCACTCAGATCCCATACGCACAGTTCAATCGCCATGGAGTCAAAGTCTAGTACAGTCTTTCGGTATACGATTGACTCCATGGGACGGCTATCTGGGGTAAGTCCATTCGTGTGTTTAAACCTCCCGAACGGCCGGTGTTTGCATCCTTCTGTCGATTGAGAAGGGAGGTCGGCGGCTTCAGCAGTGTTCGGCAGAAAAAGTGTCAGTTTTCAGTTCCATGAAATTCATGCCGAGCACCGCTGGTCTTTCGCATGGTTTAAAATGGCCGCTGCCTCGTGGTCGACATACGAACGACGACGACCCTGTATTCGGTTTTTAATTGAGAAGTGTCTGCGGTTAACCACAACGTTCTAATTGGGATCAAGAGGTTAACCAGCAGCACACTTCTCTTCTGGGTGGCTGTCCGTTCGGTAGTTTTGTTCGGTGGAAAAGTCAATTCACTGAACAGGGGCATACGAATAAGGTAAAAATAGACGAACCAGCAATCTTAGTCTATACAGATGGATCTGTCACAGGGTAATAGACAGAGGGACCAATAAATGTAATACCTGTAAAATAAAAAAACATACTTACCATTAGATGTCTTCTTTCTTTAACCCCAAAAAAGTACAAATAAAAATCCATAAGGTCATGTTGCAAGCAACTATTAAAATTTAAAAAAGGACCCGGACAGACTAAGCTTGCTGGGTCGGGAAAGCCTTTTAAAACTTCCCCACGCCGTGCAATCTGAGTCATGGTGCTCTAATTGGTTGACTAAGCCAACCAATCAGAGTGCTATGACAGGTAAATCTTGAGAACGTTTGGTGAAGCTCACCTGCCACATCAAGACAAATCTCTTGAGTCCTACATCAACAGTTCACCTTACTTTGTTGAACTAACAGCCAAAATCTCTAATGAGACAAAAATGCATTTGTTAGTTTTTTGTCTGTAACTTTCCAGGACACCATAAAACCTGTACATGGGGGGTACTGTTTTACTCGGGAGACTTCGCTGAACACAAATATTAGTGTTTCAAAACAGTAAAACTTATCACAATGATGATATCATCAGTAAAGTGGCTGTTTGTTTTGCATTTTTCACAGAACGGCACTTTCACTGACGATATCATCGCTGTGATTTGTTTTACTGTTTGAATCACTAATATTTGTGTTCAGTAAAGTCTCCTGAGTGTAACAGTACCCCTCCCCCCCCCATGTACAGGTTTTATGGTGTTTCAATGTGACAAAACTGACATGAAAGTTAAGGCTTGCATTTCAGTTTTGTCACATTGAAATGTGCCCGATTGGTAATGTTGCCTTTGAGAGATGTTGGGAATGGGATCTGATAAACAGTGTATTCTGGTGAATTCAAAACTAAGATACAAAACTTGGGCCAAAGTGGTTGAGTTGCAGAAAACAAAACTGCTATTTTGATCTACTTTTTCAATTAGTTTTATTAAATTCACTGTACAGAAAATAAGCAGCGTGTCTAATATTGGAAATAATCCATATAACCTCTCTCCATACAACAATCCCTTTAATAAAACATCGTACATTTCTCTCTGAAGATACAACGGCCGTGTCGGATGAGCCTTGTTCCAGATTCTCCTGTGGGAGCGAGAACTGATTGATACATTAATATGAAGGAAATGTGAATTATCATAGCACTGATCTATAGAAACATACACTCGCCCCCTTCCATTTAATAATCACATGCATTAGATGCAACAGATAAAAGGAATTCATTTCAATTCTCAGGAGCAAGAGGCAATTTTTTCCCCTCTATTTTTTATTTTTATATTAATATAAATATATTCATGGCGTAGGCACATCTAAGGAAAAGAACTACTTGATAGAATTGTGTTTTAACAATTTCATTGCTGCTGCGGAGGGAAGCTTGTGTGTATAACGTGCGAATATGATTCAGTCCGCAGTAATTAATATAATGTATACACGGTGCACGCTAAATAACAAAACATATACAGAGGCACTGAGATCGTGCATGCAGAGCATTCTGGGATATTGCCAGGAGCATTGTGGGGAATACATATGCAGGGTTATACACTAAAGTAAAGTTCCAAGTGAATTTAAAGTGAATTTCAAATTTAAGGGCAATGTAGCCGAACTGAGAAAAATCTCTGTCAATTATGCTCCCAATTCAGCTATTTGGAATTCTTCCTTTAGTAAATAGCCTTGACTCGCTAACTGCTATTCCTATGGTTCACACCTCCAGTATGATCATTTTAATAACCACTACACCTTGTTGTAGTGGTTATAGTTAGGCCCCATCCCTCTGGCTCCGCTGGGATCCAAAGCCCAGCCTGTTTCTGGGCTTTAAAATGAAAGAAATTAAATTCTCGGCATTATCTGTTGTTAACCCAGTGATGTCAACTCATTGTTGAAGTCAAACACTGGATAAGTTAGACACAGGCTGCACCATAACCATTACAATCAGCAGTTGTGTTTAAGGTGCGTTGAGCACCCCTTTAATCGAGCACAATGTGTTGCTAATTTTGGTAATCTGTTCTGCTGCCATCTTGTTTTTGCACTCATGGGGTATTTTAATTGGCTCATAAATTGCGATCAAACTACAGTATTTGCTTGTGTTAAGTTGACATTCAGAAGTAAAACAAATAAAACTATTTAAAGAACACACCTCTGCTGAACAGTGCAATGGGTTATGCTACAAACCCGCAATGTTCCCATAATTCCATGGTTTCGCATGAGCAGTTCACATTATGGGGATCATGGGACATTAACTAAGTTGCACCAAATGCCATGCAATGAGCAGGAGCGTGATGCAAATTATAGCTGCTTTGTATGAACTATGATACAGGTCCACAAGATGGTAAATTATTAAGATTTTTTTACATTAGCATAGATACCACGGGCCCTATGGTTTGGAAATAATTGGCATTCATACAAAGTGCAAACATATAGCAAGAGGCGCGTAGACCTATCTCCCAAACAGCAAGGAATCCAGTGGGGCTGGTTGGATGTGTGACCTACCTGCTGGGGCCCAGTTCCTGCAATCCATGCAGGTGCCCGAGGAATTAGATACGCTTATCATAGATGGTTTGTTTTGGATTCCGCTCCCAGCTCTCTCTACCTTGCAGCTGTAGATATTTAAGCATACTTGGAAGGATTTGCATGTTGATGTCTAATGGCACCCTGGGAGGTTGGAAGAGAAGGTAATGAAATCTTAGCAGTTCCATAAAAATCCACTTTGCACAAACCCTCCGGATCAGCTCTTTGGTAGAAGTGTGGGGGTGGGGGGGGAAGGAGTAGGTTTTGACAAACTTTAAAACGTGTTATTAAATGTAAAATAAACAAAAGAAGTACAAGAACCTTGCTGTAGAAAGCACTCCCTACTAACAGAATTTAAAAAATAAAATAAAAAAAAAAGAACTCTCAAATCCCTGAGCACATTTAAATAACTAGAGTTTTTTTAGTATCACTCCAATGGCTATTAAAGTGTAAGCTCACCTGCCAAGTCAAGGCAAAACTATTAGGGGAGTCCTAACAAATCACCTTGCAGCTTTCAGCTAAAACAGACAGAATACCTCCAGTTATTTAAATGTACATAGGGATTTGGGACAGAGCACTGGCAACTAATGTTTGCTCTATATATGTGGGTTGATGAATACTGTAGCCGTTGCTGCTGCCCAGGAGTAGTGGGAGCTTAAGTGCAGCGCTGCCGCCCACCCCATGTGTATTAAGGGTTAAAAAGTGTGTATGGATTTGGAAAATACCCCTCTCTGTCCCATTCGAGATTTTGTCTTTTCGCTGAAAGCAGCGAGGTGAATTGTTCATGTAGGACTCACCTAAGAGTTTTTTTGCTTTTACCTGGCAGGTCAGCATACACTTTAATGGCTTTTGGAGGGATACTAAAAAAAAAAAAACTCCAGTTATTTAAATGTACATAGGGATTTTTTTGGTGGGGTGGGGGGAATTTTATTCTGTGTTGGGGTTGATGTATACTATAGCCATTGCTGCCGCCCAGTATTAGTGGAAGGCTACATTTTGTATTTTTGTACTCACTACTATAACACAAACTCGTATTGCACACTATTACTCTGTGCTACCAAACAAAATAACACACATGCACTATACCAGTCAGTGCTAAAATCTAACAACATGTACACATATTAAGTGTTATTTTGGGTTATGGTGAGCTGTGAGAGAAATTATGTGAAGTGAAATGCTCCCAACAAGAGAATAAGCTAAAATATAGTCATTTATATTCAATTTCTGAGAGATGTTTTTGTGGACCTTGTTACCTATATAACACATACTCCAACTTGGACACAAATCCCTTACTGGTGAATTTAAAGTGATACCGTGCGCCCATACTGCGGATTTAGTGTTGTACCAGTGTGCTTTCTCCAAATCAGCAGGTTTGATTTATTTAATGACTCTCTGGTGTTTTTGCACTTTGACAGCTGCTATTTAACCAAAGTCCTGTTAGCGTTCTTGTTTTCTAGACCAGGGACCTACAAATATTGCTTAACTATAACTCCCATAATTCTTTGAATGAAAAAGATAGCCAGAGAATCATTGGAGTTGTAGTTCAGCTGGTGGGACAGAATTTGGAGAATCCTGTGATCTAGACAAACTAAATTTGTTCAGCAGTGCCACCACGTACCAGAGAGGCAATATTGAGGCAATATTGTGCACGTCTCATTTTTACCATGTATGACGGATTTCCTAGCAGTGGGAGAGCCAGGTTTTATGAAACACATGTCCATCTGGACAGCTGAAGATGCACAGCTAGAACTCAATCAATTCAGACATTATTGTGTTTATCGACTAGAGGCAGATTATATCCCAGATACTGCTAGGGATTTACAGCTGTTCTAGGTATTTCCTAAATGGATCAAAAGCAAGACACCAAATAAAAAAATTAAAAAAAAGAGACATTTACTTGTAAAAATAAACAAATCATATTTAATGATCTTTACTACATCCTTCAAAAAAAAAAAAAAAACAGGAATGCAACAGCCCAGTTCTGGGTGACTGCAGTTTTCTTCTAAAGGTCAAGAATGCAAGTGGAACATGTTTTTAGAATAACTTTATTTAAGAATGGTTAAGAAATATTTTACGCTGCAGAACAAAAATTCCCACTTTTTTCTTTCCTTACACGGAAATACATTCTTTAAAGTTCAAAAGTGCTTTATATGGGTCCGCGGGAATTCTCTCCCATGTAAGTGCTTTGCTATGTGTTTACTTAAATCACATGGCGATCCCAACAATCTGCATTAACATTACTTAGAAATGAGTTACAGACGCCTTAGGATCAATGTAGGTAAAGTTCCAGGACCTGACACCCAGTCAACAAGCACATCCTAAAGATTAGCAAGGTAGCATCGCATTATTCCACTGGCGCACCACACAGTGGGGACAAACCAGAAAAAGTTATTGTAATCAGACAGTATGTTTTCTAAAGAGCAAACTCCTATTAAAACTTCTTAATCTATACAAAGGGTAACTGGAGGCATCTAGAATATATTTTTAAAGGAAATAGAACACTTGTTAAACAAACGTAACAAAAAATTGTTATTTTCTTCCAAATAGGGGTGTTCACGTGTCAGTTGTCAGGAATTCAAAGATTTTTAAAAAAAAAACAACAAAAAAAAACAACAATTTCAGGGCAAAATAGCAAAACTAAAACTCTAGGCGTAGTCGACTCGGAGAGTTTATTTTTCCAATTTTGGCTATTTTGGTCTAAAATTGAAAATCTGCTTTGAATTCTCCTCGATTCACAATTTAGTGAATAATCCAGAAAGTAGAGAAAGTGTACAAAAATAAACAGAAACATCATATCTACGAACAAATTAGAATATATTAATAAAGACTAAATGTTTATATGCGATGGTCACTCTATTCCTATCTGTGAAAGTGAATACCCAAGGCAAACAGAGGGGGTTATTGCTTAAATCTATCTAGATCTGTGCATTAACTTTAATTAGAATACACTTTACTAAACTCCAGTATATGTTCATCACTGTTAAAGTGAACACGTCCTCTTGACATATCTGTTTTGCGTACGTTTAAATGATTGGTATACTAACCTAGTTAAACGTGTAGATAGAACGGAAACGCTATTATGAATTAGCTGCAGACACATGTACCAGCATCCCTTTATGCAGCATGAGACTGGAAGCTCCGTAGTCTAGGGTACCCATGTATATCTTTCCCCCACTGTAGTGTTTGTGCATGTATACCCATGGGACTATTGTATGCTAATTTACAGAACGGAAATAGCTTTTGAGCTAGGAGTTTGTTAGAAATTAGGTGAACACATGGCACAGATAAAATGTCCTATTGTAATCACTGTGTGATACATTCTGAGTAAAAAGGAATACCTAAGAAAGTAGGCGTAATAGAACAAACGTAGACAAATAAATGATCAGTTAATGAACGATGAATGAGTTACTCTTACAGAGCTCATTGTGCAGAAGAAATAAATAAAATATATATATTTAAGCGTAACAGCATTAATACATTTATTTACAGGTTCCCTAGAAATCCATGTCAGGAGATTTCATCCACCAGTTTAGATCCATTAATCCCTCGGTAAGTCACCCTGCTAGGTCGCACCAGAACCCCATGGTTTTGCTTGCAGTTAAAGTAGCGTTTCTCCCCCACAGATCCATCGTGCTTCCCCTTGGCGTTTCGGAGTTCCAAGCCCAGCCACAAGCCGGGAGCAAAGTCAGTGGGACCCATGTAGCGAATGATGGCCATTTCATTGGAGCTGGTCAATAACACTTGGAAACCTTTCTGGAGTTTCACCGTCCCATCGCCAACGCGAGATGTGGCAGAGCTGCTCCAGCTCCTTCTAAGCACAGGGTTCTTAGACCTATGGGAAGAGATAAAAGTCATGTGACTAGAAGAAATCTGGTGCATGAATAGAGGGAAGATCATCATTTAATCTCCTGCTACTTTAGATATTCTGTTAACTGAAAGGTTACTATTGCAGCAACATTTTTTGGAGTGTCTTGATTGAACAAATAAATCTTTAGGGACAATGTCCATCGCACACTAAATGGCAAGAAGTAGCGTACGTTATGTTTGATGACATTGTGAGCATTTGGACTTTAAATAATCACATGCAAGCAAAAGGACAATAAATAGAAGGAGCTTGTTCTTCCTCCTTTAAACCATCCAACACGAGCATTAACTCTCAGGAGAGCAGTCCTTTCACGGATTCATTAAAGTGTTTGTAAGCACTTGGCGGGTGCTAAAAGCTAAAAGCAAGGAATCATTAAATGCATATCCTGCTGGCTTTGGGAACATTCACTCGTCAGCCTGCAGATATCACAGGGATTTTGCTCTTTTTGAGTGAAGATCACTGAGAAGTTATTCAGCTCTGGTCCTATTTAAGTCACCCTCTTTCTCTCTGCTTGTGTTTATAACCCGGGGCGTTCCCCTTTGTATGTTTGTTCATCATATTGCGGCCACTGTTAAACTTTCATAAAGAGAGCGGCACACGCCACAAAAAACTAATAAGCCATGTAAAGCGTGCACATAATGCCCTAAACGTTATTGTTACACTGCACAAAGTCTCTGAGTGCACCAGTTCCGGTCACTAATTGGGGACAGAAATCAATCTATAATGGCAAAATTCTTCTAAAGGTTCTGGAATGTTATGTTTTGCACAACATACAGAGCCAGGTAAATGGGGGGGATCTAGCACCATCTAGGGGCTGATAACTTACTAGCAAGCCTGAAAGCCCCAAATATGCAACTGGATGATACAAAGGGACATAGTAACAAAATTAATATTAAAAAAAAAAAGGAAAAAAAAAAAAAAAAGTGTTTTTACACAAGGTGGACATTTTTCTTTAAGAAAGAGTTTAAGCTGCATGATACAGTTTCGTGAGACAAATTTAAAATGGCTTGGGTCAGACTCATTGCAGTGCTGAGCAGGATACAGAACTACTGCGTAACCTCAGTAAACACTCAATGCCATCTGCTAATCCTGCAGTAACCTCAGCAACTACTCAATGCCATCTGCTAATCCTGCAGTAACCTCAGCAACTACTCAATGCCATCTGCTAATCCTGCAGTAACCTCAGCAACTACTCAATGCCATCTGCTAATCCTGCAGTAACCTCAGTAAACACTCAATGCCATCTGCTAATCCTGCAGTAATCTCAGTAAACACTCAATGCCATCTGCTAATCCTGCAGTAACCTCAGTAAACACTCAATGCCATCTGCTAATCCTGCAGTAATCTCAGTAAACACTCAATGCCATCTGCTAATCCTGCAGTAGTCTCAGTAAACACTCAATGCCATCTGCTAATCCTGCAGTAGCCTCAATAAACACTCAATGTCATATGCTAATCCTGCGGTAATCTCAATAAACACTCAATGCCATCTGCTAATCCTGCGGTAATCTCAGTAAACACTCAATGTCATCTGCTAATTCTGCAGTTACCTCAGCAACTACTCAATGCCACCTGCTAATCTTGCAGCACCTTGGGGATTAGGTAACAGTCATTCCACGATACTGTAGACATGATCCAGCATTTGCTTGTAAAGTGTGGTAAGAAGGTATTCAATATAGACAATCATTCTATACATGTGCCATCATGATATATAAAGACATTTACATTGTATGCCTTGAGTGTGCCAAGGCAGTTTTGGTGTATAGAACATGCCCCTGCAGCCTCACTGCTCAATCCTCTGCCATTTAGGAGTTAAATCCCTTTGTTTATGAACCCTAGTCACACCTCCCTGCATGTGACTTGCACAGCCTTCCATAAACACTTCCTGTAAAAAGAGCCCTATTTAGGCTTTCTTTATTGCAAGTTCTGTTTAATTAAGATTTTCTTATCCCCTGCTATGTTAATAGCTTGCTAGACCCTGCAAGAGCCTCCTTTATGTGATTAAAGTTCAATTTAGAGATTGAGATACAATTATTTAAGGTAAATTACATCTGTTTGAAAGTGAAACCTTTTTTTTCATGCAGGCTCTGTCAATCATAGCCAGGGGAGGTGTGGCTAGGGCTGCATAAACAGAAACAAAGTGATTTAACTCCTAAATGACAGCGAATTGAGCAGTGAAATTGCAGGGGAATGATCTATACACTAAAACTGCTTTATTTAGCTGAAGTAATTTAGGTGACTATAGTGTTCCTTTAACATATGTTGTAAATAAAAAAAAAAAAATTAAATAAAACCTGTTTTTAAATAACCATTTAGTAAGCTATTGCACATAATGAGACCATGGATATGTCTACTCCCACTGTTTTCTAGATACTCTATCAATTCACAGTTCTTTGGTCTGTCCTGGTCACAGGTGTTGGTGCCCTAGATAGAGAGGGTTCCCCGAGTCCCATGAGATTGATATGGGTAGAAGGCTGTATATGTTCACTACCGAATCGGATATTATTGAGGTGCATTGGAGCTACTCATTTACAGTTCCTTATATTTACTGGGTTTATTCAATAAACCCGAAATGTTTAAATGATCCAAGAGCTCACTGCACTGAACATAAAGCCAGAGGCACTGAATTAAATCCCAACATGTCGGATTTGAAAAACAAAACACATACATTCGAAAGGGAATCGTTTACACAAACTTCACCTTCCAACAGAGTGTCTCCTGTCCAGCTCCTTTTGCGAGGCGTTTGTGGATGTAGAGCTGTAGCTTCGTCTGAAACCTGGAATAAAATGCAGAGGTTAAAGGCCAAGCTGACATTTCAACAGTTTTACAAACTTCACAAACCCTAAGAAATTATAAACTGTAATAATAGCAGGAGGGTCTCATTAATCACACCAAGAGAAAGGGGTCTTCACTGAATTGGGGGAAATTAACCAGGTGATTGCAACGTAGCTGGATTGGGATAAATAGCACAATTAGCAGTTTGTTTCCTGGTTTCAAGGTCCTGGATGTCATAAAGTCACCAGTGCAAGAAGAAAACGAAGGTAAGTGATTAGCATACAAACCTGGGAATGAATAGTTCAGCTTATTTGTTGGGATTTCCGACAGAGAATCCATCGATCCAGATAACCTACAAAATCACAATAAATAAATAATCATCAAATGTCAGTTTATACAGTGAAATTTGCATTAAAACTAGGAGCAGCCATCAGTTAGCTGCCCAGAAGATGCAGAACTACATATCCCATGACAGCACCAGGCACATTTTATTATTTAAATGTGAGTGTATTTACTATATTTTATCATCTCTTACTCACTGTGGAACATACTGCACCATTATTCTTTCCATTTTTATCTCCCCCTTGGCTCTCTGTCACTGCACCGAAGAGGATACTCACCGCATGTCCTTTAAACGGGGATTATACCGCTGCAAGAGCTGGATTAAGCTCTACCAAATGTGAGTAAGACTTCTTCCTTTATATCTGACACCTCTTGGAACGACCTGCACCATCATTCCTTTCATCTCTTATCACCCTCTCCTATATATTTGAACACTGCGAGGAGCGGAACCTTACAACTCCAGAGACCAGCATAGGACCCAAGTTCCACTTTTCTGGACTCTGTTCTAACTACCACTACCCTAACTAGGACTTTTATTTATTTACTTTGTTTATTGGCGCAGTCCTATCCTTTTGTTTGTTTGCCATCTGCACATTTTATTATTTGTTTCCTTTATTCCTGGGTAATTTGCATTGTGGCAAAACTTGGCTGTCATGGCGACATTGCCGCTCTGTGAATGAGCATCCTGCATTAACCATACAGTGATTGTCCCCACTGAGATTTTTATTAATTGTCCCTTAAAATGCAGATGGTTTGACATAATGTTCTATCACAGGGGTAGGCAACCTTTTAGCAGCACTGTGCCGATATAGGATTGTGATGTCCCGTAGCGTGCCAGTCCTATTTTTTATTTTTTTTTAATTGAGGTGTGTATGCTGCCGTATTCTGCTTGTGTTATTTATACTGTAATTGCTTTGTATCTTTGTATTTGTGCGTATATGAGCTATTATATTGTATATGTTCATGAGTAGATTGTGGTATCGTGTATGATACATATGAATGGGGGCTGTGTATGAGGGCTGCTTGTGGAATTGTGTGTGTGGATGGATATGTCACATTGTGTGTTTAGTAGTGTGTGTATGTGTGGGGGCTGTTTGGGGTATTGCATGTGAGAGGCTGCATGCGGGGTTGTGTGCATGTATGTGGATTGTTAGTGGTGTTGCGTTTGTGCGGATTGTGTGTATGTTTGTGCGGATTGTGTATATGTTTGTGTGTGGGCTGTCCATATTATTTGTATGAGGGGAGGGTCTTTCTGCATTTCTGTGTATATCTAGCAGTGTGGGTGGCTTCCCTGGGTTCCAGTGGGGACCAGGCTGGCCAGGTACAGGTCAAGGACCAGAGCTGCAACAACAACTGCGAGCTGCTCTACTACTGTGTGGATTCCCAATCACAAGTGCGGGAATGAAGTGTTCTGAGATCACTTCCTCTACGTGCTGCAATGCATAAATTGAGGATTGTCCTTCACCACCTCTTCGTATTCGCAGATATCTGAAGTTTTACTGGGACTCCTGATAGGACAGAGTCTGTTTGGCTCTAGCAACCTTGAGTGCCGTGCAAAGACACCTCGAGTGCTGTACATGGCACTAGTGCCGTAGGTTGCCTACCCCTGTTCTATCATATACATTATGATATGTATAGCATTATTATTTCAATTCATTCTTAAAGATAAGGGTCTGGAAAATTGTTCCCATAAAATGATGCACACGCATTAACACAAACATAAACTAAACGTTAATATGTATTTATTATCTGGGGGTAAGCAATATTTACATCTAAAATAAAAAATAAACCAGTGACTATGTCAGGGTTTTCAAATGATGACAAATAACACACAGAATATTCTTTTGGGATAAAGCTGAATACAGAAAGGCCGGTGTTATGTTACACAGTTGGATTCAAGCTTGTGAATGAAATAACCATACTTAATATCCAATAAATCCAGCATTTAAAGGGACACTCTGGGCACCAATACTACTTTATTGCATTTGACAGGTTTCGGCCTCTTTAATATGCTGAATTTTTTTTTTTTTTTTTTGCATCCTCAAATCTTTATAGTTTTTGCATAAAATTACAATAAATGATTTGCAGAATGCTGCACCAAAAACCTGCCTCTTTAGCCACACCCCCATCACTCCAAAAAAATACTTCCTTATCAAATGTATGTACACAGCTCAGCCACTGACAGTGCGGATTGATCTGAAAAAAACAACCTGCATTAGAAAGAGAGGACACGCAGGGAAGCATGTAGTGAGGATATAACTAACGGTTTGTAGCCAGAATGTCAATTAACTCAGTCCTGTTGGCAGGGCCGGCCTTAAGCAACTAGGCACCCTGTGTCGAGGTTTTCCTCTGGTAATCCACAGCAATGCTCTGACTGGCCAGAGCTCGGAAGACAGCAGCCAGCAGAAGTGCAAGCCATTGGTGCCAGACTGCCTCCCCTGCATTACAGACAAGCAGACTAAGTAGGTCACATAATACTGTGACACACAGTTACACACAGTTATAGGCAGATGGTCACACACTCTGTTACAGACAGTCACACACATACACGAACAGTTACAGGCAGACAGTCACACATGCACAGTTAGAAGCAGACAGTCACACACACAGTTATAGGCAGATGGTCACACAGACACACACTCAGTTACAGACAGTCACACACATACACTAACAGTTACAGGCAGACAGTCACACATGCACAGTTAGAAGCAGACAGTCACACACACAGTTATAGGCAGATGGTCACACAGGCACACACGAATAGTTCCGGGCAGACAGTCACACATGCACAGTTACAAGCAGACAATCACACACAAAGTTATAGGTAGATGGTCACACACTCAGTTACAGACAGTCACACACATACACTAACAGTTACAGGCAGACAGGCACACACACTCAGTTACAGTCACACACACACACAAACAGGCAGACAGTCACACATACACACACACACACAGGCAGACAGTCACACACACACACAAACAGGCAGACAGTCACGCATACACACACACACACACACAGGCAGACAGTCACGCACAGAGTACAGTCACATATACACTCACTTACCTCTTTCCATGATGACTGGAAGTGAGGAATGGAGGCAGTGTAGCTCCTGTAGCCTAGTTATGGGGAAGCAGTGACTTTTTCTTGTTTCCCCCTTCCTGTGCAGCAATTATCAGAAGCTTCTGGGAGACTTAGGCTCCGCCCCGCTGCCATTTTAGTCCCGACTCCTCCACTCTGTAAGCCACACCCCTGCCACTCGGTAAGCCTCGCCCCCACTGCCTTGCTCTTTACTTTCATAGTCCCGGCTGGAAAATAATGAATCCTCCACCCGTACTTGCTTTAGCTCACCCTGCACTCCTGGGAGCCGGCCATGTGTGAGCTGTGTCGGTAACATGGCGCCCCCTGCTCCCTGGCGCCCTGTGCGGCCGCAAAGCTCACACACCCCTGTTAGGGCAGAGACTGTGCTGATTGTAAGAATATTAAATAGTTAACTTGTTTATATGTATTTTATGCTTTTATAAGGTTTATAACATGATTATTGCTGACTGAAGGGATATTGAATACTTAAAGTCAATGTACGACATAATATGCTGACTGTGACAGACTAAGGTATTTCTTCTATAGGATGTAAGACAATGCTAAATTTCAGGATGTCTTGCCCATTCCGATTTTAAGGATATTCTTTCCCAGACGTATGCAAAAGCTTATCTTTCCATTGTCAGAATAACGTAATATAAGGAAGTAATAAATCTTATAGTCTGTACTGTATTTGCATATACCATGGCTAATGTAAGCAAACTATGTATAAAAGCCAGCTCTGGAATACACTCATTTGAGAGTCTTGTAAAGCTGTTGTCCGTGTGTTATTGCTTACAAATGATTCTCCATCAACGTTGATTATGGTGACCGAGGGATCGAGAACCGAGGGGATTAGAGTCCATTACAACATTAACCCTTTCACTGATAAGGAAGTCTTTCCGGCATGAGGGGGCGTGGCTAAGGAGGCAGACTTAAGGTGCAGCATTCTGCAAAACATTTATTTTGTGCATAAACTGGAAAGATTTGAGCATTTAAAGAGATACAGAGTTACTCTAACCATCCTGAGCGTGGGTCTTTTCCCATCCCTTAATTCGCAGTTTAACCTGCAAAATAGAGCATTGCACTTACTAGAATCCAGCACCAGGCGAAGCTCCCGGCACTGATTTTCCGCCCCCTCTGACATCCCACGGTGCGCCTGTGGTCCAATCACAGGCTGTTCATAGAAAAGCCTGTGACTGGTCTGCTTCGGAGGCACAGAGCCCATGCATGCGCTCCAGGCCAGAGAGGGATTGGATACAACTGAGGGGGTAATAAAAATAAAATAAAGTACAACAAAGGGTGCACAATGTGGGTGGGATAGAGTAGCAATCTTCCCCTTGCAAGCGCTCTGCCGGCAGCATGCAGTGCGCACTGACGACAGACGTATTTATGCACACAATTTACATTCACAGTTCTGGGCTGCCAATATCATGTGTTCTAGGGGTGCAACTAGTCGCAGCACACAATTACAAATATTTCAGTGTCTGCAGTGTTTCGAGCAGAGTCAGTGAAGTGATCATGATGGTTGGAGTAACCCTTTAATGAGGATAAAATGTATCAAATGCATTAGTTTTATTGGTGCCCTGACTGTCCATTTAAGCTCCATTTTTAACCAAACATCCTTTGATTTCAGTCATACTCACCTTTGAACTCTAGATGGCGGTGCAAACACTCCATGCTTTGGAGGACATAAAAAGTACTCAATGCCTGCAACAGTTCCATCATTCTTTCCATGAGGCTTGTCCAACTCAATGCCACACCAGAAACCTGCATGGGGAGGGGACATTTTACAATCTCACACAGTGTTTATTCCATGTACTGCTCCTATTAATTCATTCATTCTAGCCAGTTACTTGTCACTTGTAAGATTACAGAATGATCACAGTCATGGGGAGCATACCACTGCTCGATTTACACAGAAGAGAAATTGGAAGATAAGTCAATATGCCTTTGGCATCATGGTAAAGCATACAGATACACTGTCCCCCTTCCAAGTGATCCATGGCATCCCACATTAGAATTCCGAGGCTGTAAATAGCCAAACATCTACAATTCTCATAGAAATCGGTCTCTTCTTTAAAGGGACACTACAGTCCCCTACGATAGTTAATCTTGCTGAAGTGATTAACGGAGTATTCTTGCGGCATTATTTTATACATACACCTATATTTCTCGTGAAAATCAGCACTGTTATTAATTCCCTTAGTATGACTTCTCAGGTGGTGAGCAGATTGCCAGGAGACTTCCTCCCTTACTCCAAACTGTAATTTAAAGTGGATTTAAGTGCTTAAATAAGAGAAGTATTGGTTTCAATGCTTCTTTATTACAAACACTGTTGCCAGACCGCGGCAATCGCTGCGCATTTCTTGGATTGCACACGTCATTAGCAGGGCTGGCTTAAGAGCCCATTGGGCCTTGTGCTGACAATTATGATGGGCCTAATTACAGAATCTTATCAACAGAAAACACTAAAGCAATCATACCTCCCAAGTGTCCTGTATCTGGCGGAGGTGGTGCTGAAGGGAAACGCACAGGATATATCTATAGAAAACACATGCCCTATGCTAATCTCTCGCTTTCATCGTAATTTCAAGTAAATCCATACCCTCTAACAGCAGTGTCTGGTGAAGCAGGATGTCAGTGGGTGGGGTAAAAGGGTGGGCCACTGACGTGAATCACGTAACCAGTACCGCCCAAAGGGGCAAACATGCTCAAAAAGAGGGCGTGTCTGCACGCAGAATTAGATGGTCAGTATGGCGTGAATGCACGTCAGGCTGCCTGCCAATCATGCAGGATGACCAACCAAGAGCATACTGTGCAGACAGCACCCTGAGCTTGGCATAATTGCATTTAATGATGCGCTAGCTCTACGCTTTCTAAGGCCTAGCACTCGCTGGTCCACTCCTCTCCTAACCTTCTTACTAGCAGGCAACAAGTGGGACAGAGAAAACGTGTATGTAGTGAGTGTAGAAGAAAAGGAACACGACACAGAGTTAGAGAGACTGAAGCAGCAAGAGCATTTGCATAGTGTGCAAAGTCAGCTTTACCTTAACTAATTTCATTGTCAGCCAGTCCACACCAGTTTTGTTCTCTACATCCCTTTTCATTTCTATTCCATAGACATGGGCCTGGAGCTGCAGCTCCATCAGACCCTATGTTAATCTGGCTCTGGTCATCAGTATTGATGACATCAAAGGAGAAAGCTCAGCAAGAAGAAACTGCTGGAGCTGGAATGAAGAGGAGTTTACATTTTTTTTTTTTTTATCCCATTCAACATCAAAACGGGGGCCTAGTTATCTATGCACACACTACATTATATGTAAACATTGGTTCCTTAATCCAGGACTCTATTTAACCTTACACTGCGGAGAGCCCAAGGAGGACAGATGCCCCAGTAAATTGGTTAATCTCCTAAGTGCGATCATGAGAAACTAACTTCCCATGATTTTTGCTAATCAAGGGATTTTAGATTACATTTTTTAATTTTATTTTTAAATGTACAATTTGAAGGCTTTGAAACTAGTTTTTAGTTGAGAGAGTCTGCTACCTTATATAGGTAATAATATACTTTTTATATTTAGAGTGTTCCTTTAATCAACATGAGAGGAAACTCTTATATATCCATATTACAGGACAGTTGCCCAAATAGTATGCATTTAGTATTTGGCCAAAATTGTGCAACGACGGCTAATTTGGAGTTTGGCGAATAGTCATTTAGTTGCTACAAAGTACAACAGAATCGTTTCGTAGTTAAAAACCTAATAAGTTAAATACAGCTTCATAAATTCTCTATTGTGCCCATAAAGCAGAGATCTATGGGATAAGGTCAGCACATTAAAAAGTCTCATAGAAAAAGTATTCGAGCATCCTGATTGGTTGATCACTACCCAGTTTGTGCTGTGCTAATGACAACATCATCAAATGTAACTCAGCTTTTAATTTGTCATGCCGATGAAGCAGATTTGTGTTTTAAATACATAAAGTAAATGATCATAAAAAAAAAAATTAAAAAAAAGGAAAGTTCAAATTGCAACTTGGAGTGCCCCTTTAAACTGTTAACAAAACATTTCACCTAAAACAACAACAATGAAAAAAGAAAAAGAAATAAATAGAATGGATTAACACGTTGCATACAACACCAATCAATACAGAATTCTAGTAAGAATGCACTGCCTGCTTTAAGAAAACGTGTTAAGTGATGGGACTTTCAGACAATATTTACTATCGGTAAAAGGATGTGTACAAAGGGAAAAAACAAACACTTACAGTTAATGTAGTCTGTGCTTAAGATGTGCGGTTAAAGCTCTGCCGTAGCCAAAATGATGTGGGCTTTTAGCACACGCCGTGACCTTGAAATATTTATTTTTATAATAGTCATAAATTAAATCCCAAGCCTTTAAAAAGGATCAGCTACTCAAGAGAATCTTTTAATTCAACTCCTAAAAAAGCCATTTCTTGTTAAAAAGGTCACAAAAGTGCATCGTGTTTTTTTTTGTTGTTTTTTTTTTTTTTTTAAAAGATCGCTACAGCATAACAGTTTTTGTGCCAGCCTGTTTTAGCATCATATCTGCGCATTATTAAATGTCAAGAAATTATGGGAGGGAGGAGTCTTGCTTGTTGTTCAGACACACAACATGTCCCTCATTTTCCAATATGCTATCAAAGTGTATGTCCAATAGATAGTGCAGTCGGTTTACATGTGTGTTTAATAACTAGAAATGCAGAATTATTAAATACATCCGACAGCACCTGGAGCAAAGCTGGTCTTCCCATAAAACCTCACTGTGCCAGATCTCCGCCCCACCACCAAAACACGGTCACCGGCCTGGAACTCGGCTTGGTCTTGTCCTGCCACGGACACAGAACGGTTCTGGACACCTGAAAAATGAGGCACAAGGCAGCAGGTCAGTGCAGGTAGAAGGACGGATTGCTACCCTGAATGGACACCGTGGCACTAAACAAGACACGACAGCTTACACATAAACGTGACAAACACAAATATTTAAAGCAGCTACGCAGGATACGATACTTTTTAGAATATCGTAAAAGGACTATCATAGTTTCATCAATAAAAACAGCCAAAAAAAAAAGTACAAGAAATCGGTTCCCATTTTATTTCTCCAGCTTAGCTGCTGTAAATTCCATTCCATTTTAAGCAGTTATAACAAAGTGTAAAAGCTGTAAAACAGTGTCCAGTTTTAAATCCTTTACTTGTTAAGGGTGTCAGCCGTGAGGTCACTGAGAACTGGATTTTTGAGATTGACTACTTTTGATTTTCATGCATTTCCCACCAAAGGAAGACCAACAATGAGGCCAAATTATACCAAAATGGAATTACAATAAAATTGTATTATAAAACGTGTCCATTCGGTTTTATATTTATAATCTTGGTTTTTGGTTTTTTTTTTAAATCTACATATATGCAAGTTAGGTCCCATCAATTCTTTTCTAATATTGGAACAATAAACAAAAAAAAAAAGTGTCATGTTTTTGTTTCTTAAAAAAGCACATCTTTACACATGTAAATTTAATATAAGCTTTAACAGTTACTGGAAGTCATAGTAAGCTCACCAGGTGTGAATCTTCACTTGCCAATAGATTATAAAAATAAATCCCAAGTGGATTAATTTAGCAGGCATTCGATTGCTAGAATAGAACCTGCCAAAAATGGGGTTACATTGGCTTTGTGGCAGGCTTATGCAAGGTATAACTAAATTCCCATTATTATTTTTTAATAAAAGTCAGGTGCTTTAAAAAAACATTAAATTCTGTGAGCTTTGTGTAAAGTTGAGCGAGTGTTCTGAATTCTCCATGCTATATCAAAAGGTACCAGTATGCATGTTCCAGCGAGCGCAGCCCTTCTGATTGAATAATCTCATAACGCACATGAAATAATCCCAGGTGAATGTCACATGGTTGACCACATGTAGGTTTGACACTGGTTTAGTGTGCTTTTCCACTTATTACAATGTTATAACAAGAAAACACAAGACACCATAACTTTCACTAAAAAGTGACCACAAGACAAACCCTGCAACAGGGGGTGACCATTCAATGGAGGTGAAAGTGGCATTCTGACCCCTACCATTAACAGATTTCACTGAAGAGGACTTGGACCTAATCGACGTGTTTATGTTACACTTAGCGGCGTCCTGACGGCGAGGATGCCTGCTGGGAAGTGGCGGCTTAGTTTCTAGTGAATAAGAGGAGTTGGAGGAAGAAGACGAGGAGAAACTGCTGGATCCAATGTAGAAAGCTGAAACAGGGAGTGGGACACGGCTCCAGCCGAGAACATAGAAAGCGACAAACACGTACGTACACACACTTCAGGAATACATTGAATAATACGGGACCGGTCACCCACAGCCGTAAAATTTTACCTATACATTGTGCTAGGAAATGTATACATTAAATGCAATCCTAGCTAAAAAGTCATTTATTAATACACTGACATTGTTGTGAAGAATTAAGAATAGTACATTTTAGACAAACTAAAATTCAAGGTTTAGTGAATAAAGTGCTCTGTGTTCATTTTAATGTCACAAAACCATAACATATTAGTTTATTTATTTATTATTTAATAAAGTGTCATTATATTGCACAGTGGCAGGTAAAACAGGCCCAAAATGCTCTCCCAACCCACTACAACTTGGTGGCACAGCAGCTGTTACGAGCACTTGTCCCTGATTGCAGCAGCCATAAAGCATTCCTATACATCACTACTGTTAACGAGTTCATGAAAATATACTGGTAAACCTTCCCAGCTGAGCGCCTTAATACATAAAAAGCACCTTCCTGGGACTTGCTTCCCCAAGCATTACCTTTCTTTGCTGGTTTTGCAGCTTCATCAGCGCCCGAGAAAGACTCACTTGCTCCATTCCTCTTGGATGAAACCAATCCTGTAAATGGAAGAAATTAAGATAAATATTAATAGAAAATAAGATAAATATTAAATTGATGTGCGTTCTGCACCTGCTTTTTCCACCCCGTATCCCTCTCCTTTAAAACCCATCAACAACCATTACCAAATACCTAAAAGCCGAAACTTAACATATACATTGAAAAAAAATTATAAATTGCAAAATGGAAGGCACCTTTACACAGAGAGAGTGTTGGGTACAGAATGCCAAATGTTCTGAAGATACAATTTCATTAACGGGGTAATTAAAGTATTGGCACCACGTTTCTTTCAGGCCTTCGTTTTCAGACGTTGGTGGGCACTAAAGTATGAATTAATCTTACTCTTCATATATTATAGAGTACATTTGATTTATTTTGGGCTATAAAACGTGTAGGTTAGGTTTTCTTTGTCCTGTCATAGATTATACAATGTTGCAGAATTAAGCACTGGGGAACATTCTAAAGTTGGTACTTGGGGCCTGTTCTGCTCCGGGCCTTTCCATCTTACATCAAGAGATGTTCTGGTTTTACAACATTACTCATCATGAAGTGTTGGCATACTTCATTTTTTCTGGCAACACAGACAAAGATTTTCAAATGTGAAAGAGCATGTGAACGCTAAGCAGCTTACCGGTATTAATTTTTGAAGTTACGCGGCTCAGGTCAATTTTCTGTGTTTTGAGAGATACGGCCGCCCGGTTTGAAGAACTTTTGATAAAGGTCTTCATGGATTCAAGCGCTTTGCTTATTTTGGAGACTGGTGCAAAAATACCTTAAACAAAGGAAACCATTCAGTAAAGTTACTAAGCTGACAGAGAGGGGTGAAATGTCTGCAAAGTCGGCCTTTTCCATCTACTCAAGATTAAAATTGCTAATGTAGGGAAATATACGGAGTATGTGAGGGCGTGCAAACCAACCCCACAATAATCACTGACAGGAGGAGATACCTGCAGGTTTAGCCCATCTGGATCTATGCTATTTTCTCAATATTTTCAGGTAAATTGTGCCACATTGTGGCGTCTTTGAATATAGGTAATGTTTTCTCTGGCAGAGAATACCACACAAAGAAAATAAATAAAATTAAATAGGAAAAAAAAAAAAAAACAACAACAACTAAATCTGTTTTTGTGGAATTAAGGTGCCAACAACCATTAGCTTCTACAAATAAGCTCCCTAATAAATCCTAAACTGTAATAGATGGAGCCCCAGAAGTCCATACCATGTTTAGGTGGGCATTTAAAGTACTGTATTCCCCCAACGCTGCCATCGTTTTTCCCCTCAGCTTCGTCCATCTCTATGCCAGCCCACTGGCCTGACGCAAACTGTGTCGGTCCACAAAATCTCAGAGTGCCCACCTGAAAATAGGTACATGCATGAGACCTGCACGAAAACCAACAGTAATACACAAACATACTACCTGGAGGATGAGATACGCACACACGCCTTGCTTACAGCCTTGGCGGCTGTCGCTTTATACAAAAATATGGTGCAATTTAAGGCCTTTGCCAAAAGAAAATATATTTTTAAAACACAAAATTACATAAAGATCAGATAAAAAAAAAAAAAAGTCAGATCTTTAGGTAATTTAACATAAATTGTATTCTTTTCTATTTGCAAAAAAACTTACGAGTGATCATTCTTGTGGATTATTCAAACACATATCTACAGGTATATAGCTATAGCTATCGATCTTCAAATATAAGCTCACTGCCTCCCTCTAGTGTTACATTAAAGAGCTACAAATATTTTAAAAACTCTGTCATGCAGAAAGCACATTCCTTTGATGCTCATCGGTGGCTTAGGAAATTAATATTTAGCATTCGATCCAGGTGACTGCTACGTAAAGGATCATTATCCCATATATTCAGAATACAAGGGATGGAGTTTTCATACATTTTTTATATTTCTCATTTAAAGAAAGGGTTAATTTGGCAATAGATATATTATTAATAATTTTTATTTATTGTTACAAATTCTCTAATAATAATAATAATAATAATAACCCCATGTTCTTAATGTAAAAACCATTGATTTTACTTGATTTTATTTTTTCTACAAACAATGATTTGGCAACAGCAACACACAGACACAGACACGCACACACACAAATTATTCAGCAAAGTCAAATCAACTTCCTTGGCATTACTAGGCAGAAATATATGTTGCCAAAGCACATACGTTGTGGATAGTGTTATGGCATGTTTTTAGTTTCTCAGGATTTATATAAAAAAAATAAAAAAAAAATAGACAGGAGGAAAGGAAAAATAGGCTGATTTGTTTTTCCAGATCCTCTTTTCTTGCAATTCGGTTTTTGATTCAATACAATATGGTGTTTGGTGCATTAACAGATGTGCCTCTCGCTCCCCAGCAAGTTTCATAACATATCATCACGGGGGGAAAGACGGCAGCAAATCACTGCTGTTACTTGGGAATAGAACTCGAAATAACCTAAGGCAGCCAGGGAAACTTAGAAGTAAGGAACTAAAAGACTTAGTAGAATGAACTCTGCTATTTGGTAACTGTAAACGACTTTCACTTTACTGCAGTTCTCCGTTTAGTGAATAAACACTGTGAGTCAGGGAGTTTGCGCTGTGTTCCAGAGCAGAGGAATGGCAGGCAACATACATACTCCTTTTACAACAGAAAATTAGAACAGAGAGCAGAATTATTGAAATATTTGCATACTTTAGATATCTATATAAATGTTAAAAGCTGCTATCAGTGTTTGAGATAATTTTTGATCAAGTTTTTTTTTTTCTTTTTAAATCTCAGTTTAGAAGTCACATCCACTCTACTGAATTATCTCTGGTTGGAAAAAAACAAACAAACAAACGAACAGATTTTTACATTTTCTTCACCCCAATTATACATTAAACACCTTAATCACTGTAGCTAACTGTATGGTCATGTTGCCTAGAATACCGAGACAACGTTCCCCAGATTAACAAATATTTAAGAACAGTTTAATATAAACCATCTTCCTGGCAAGGAGGACCCGTAATGGAGAGATAATGCAAGGAGGTCCAGACAATATAAACGAGCTTTCCTCAAGGGGTTAAATTACAATGAATGGTTTGACCATAAAGTCTTCAATCCGGCATTCAATCACCATTTCCATCTATTACCACTGTAGTCTGAGGCTTAAAGGGACACTCCAGGCACCCAGGCCACTTCTGCCCATTGGAGTGGTCTGGGTGCCAACTCGCACTACTCTTAACCCTGCAACTGTAATTATTGCAGTTTTCATAAACTGCAATAATTACCTTGCAGGGTTAACTCCTCCTCTAGTGGCTGTCTAGTGGCACTTTCTGCTTCATAGCACAGGTTTTCTGTGCTAGAGCATCGCTGGACGTCCTCGCACTGTGTGAGAACCTCCAGCGTCGGTTAATTCCCATTTTCTATGCTTTCCTATGGAGAGCTCAAACGCGCATGCGTGGCATTGCCGCGCATGCGCATTAGGTCTCCTCAGCCGGTGGGCGAGATCAGTCTCCCCCGCCAGCTGACGTAAGGTGACCCGAAACCACCGCCAAGGGACATCAGCGGGGGTCTCAGGTAAGTCACTGAAGGGGTTTTCACTCCTTCAGCAACCGGGGTTGGGTGGTGGGACGGAGAGGGGACCTGCAGTGCCAGGAAAACGGATTGTCCCTTTTAATCAGGAAGGGAGCTGCTGATAGGTTGAGGTCTACCGCAAATTCTCTCAGCCTATTATTGGCTCTCTATTCACAAAACGCAAGAACAATGCACACGTTTCTGAAGCAGTTCATGAACTGGGAGCAATGTATTCTCTCATCCTATCAGCAGCGTCCATTTAAAGACTTCCCGAATTTAGGGTAGGACTGCAGCGGAAATAGCTGGGCAGAGTGATCGGGCTCCAAATTCAAGACTTTGGGGTTCATTAACAGTTTAACCCATTGAGTTAAGGGATTTATACATTCTATATTGAGAAGCGCAATGGAATTTGTTGGCCATTTATAGATTATATAAACGCCAATACGGATATTACCAATAATAAGCCGGAGACCTCCTGGTACCATAACAACTTAATTTCCACTTAACAATTCAGTCTAATCTGGACAGCAATGATTGGTTGAGAAAGCTGTGGAACTGGCAGACAAAATAGTCATTGATAATGTGCATTGGTTCTCAAACACCTTAGTGGTTAGAGTGTGTAGACTGCCCCTTTAATTTTGAGGTACATGATATAAACATGCAGTCAGTATACTGATGGAGAACACATAGATAAATCATGTGGGACATTGTTACATTTAAGGCAGAGTTTATCAAAAGGGTAAATATTATAACATATCGTTTCAACAAACGGTAGTAGAGGATTTACGTCTGCTGTGTGAGATTATTCTATAGAGAGTTTCCTGCTACCACACAAAAGGAATAATATTCACGTTAATGGAAACAGTCAGCAGACAGAGCTTTCTTTTAAAAAAAAAAATGTACCTTTAAAAAAAACAAAAAAACAAACATGCTTTCCCTGCCCCCTCCCTCCTCCATGTAATTTATACAGACTGATAACCAACCGCGCGCACACAACTTCCTGGAACGACAATCTTTTTATTCCAGGACATTAAAAAGAAACATGCATTTAGAAAACCTGACTTGTACATGCGCTTTCCATTATATTTTTACTGCAGCAGATTTTATGAAATAAAGAACTTTGCTGAGGATTACTGGCCCTTGCTCGGCGGAAAAATTATTTAACCAAATGTTATAGGTAACTGTTAGAGCTGTAATTACATGCAAACGGCAATCATTGTTTGTTTGTACAGACATAACTCTGCGGCTTCCTTGCCAAATCCAGCCCTTACAATGACTGGCCATACGGGCTGGGTGAGCTAACGGCCACACTACTAGGACATGCTGCTAATTACACTCCGTTTTCTGGACACATTCCACCTTTGTCAAGACAGATCTTTCAAGATTTCATGACTATGAAGGCAGAAGAGCCTGATTTATATAACGAGCTTGCAGCCAGTTACCGCTGCGACATTTAACCGCTGACAATGAGCATGTTACCGCTAACAACATTCACAGCTCTAATTGCTGAGAATTAGACCTAAAATAAAATAACAGATCAAATGTTAGGACACATTTTATTTATGCCTTGACACATCTATTTATATAGAGAGAAGTAATAACGCTGCTGTAATATAGGTATGTTCGGAAACCGAATGAGCGGTCATCCAGTCCTTGGGTAAAATACATTTCTTAGACCTGGAGTCTGGTTTGGGTTTCCTTTCCGACTCAATACAGGCAGAGGTACTTTATTAACTAAGAAATTAGAAGTGATAAATTTCTAATCCAAATCTTTAGCCACACACTGGATTACCGCTGCACTCTGTACCCGTCAAAAAACAAACTGAAGTGGAAAACCCGAACGGCTTTATTGGGTAAAATACAGGAGTATCAATATAAGGTATAAAAACATCTCGTAAACGACAAACTAGCTGCCCAAAACCAATGCAGTGACGGTGTAGTGCAGCGATCATCAAAGCAGCACGGATATGAACTGTAAGAGGAAGGAGTAACTCGTTAAGTGGTTTGAGAATGACTGCACCGATATAGGTCTCCACTCTTAGTCCAGTTACACTATGATCAGCTTGGACTGGACTTGAAGAGTCTGCCAGTGCTGCTTCTCACGTATTTGGTCAGAAAGACCTGTAACACGACAGCTGCACAGTTAGAACCCTCCGGGTCTCATCAGCATGGCACTGATTCTGGTCTACGAGTTGCAATCTTTCTGCCTGCTGTTAGCTCCTAGAACTAAATTTCCATAAACACACATACATATATGTATTTATATAAAACAACACAGCTTTCAATACCTTCTGCCCGGCTATCAATACCCGGTCCCCCAGCTTCAGACCAGCCGACAGGAGCATGCCACTGCCAGACACATTGTCATAGTTACGAAGGGGAGAGCTGGTGAATTCACATGACAGCGGCATGGCATCCAATAGGATCTGTTTCATTTCCTTCGCAACAGCGGCTGCATCAGCCATCTCCAATGGCATGTCAACCGGATCAGGAACAACATCAGCCGGGATACGTCCTCTGTCATCCTGCAGGGAACAAACGAGGGTTAGAGGACTACATCAGGAACAGCCAAGCTGGGAGGCATCGGTGTGAAAGAGAAATTACCAAAAGGGTTACTAACAGACGGATCAGGGCTCAATTACGGGTTCCCATTGGTAGGAACAGTAAGGCTGCAAGTAATGATTTACAATGTTTACAGAAGTGCTTTTGCTTTCCACGAAGTAATAGTCCCAATTGATCAGGGCTCAAAATTTCTATTCACCACTAGACAATGGCATGTAGAAGGGTGCCATGGACCCCCCAGGATTGCAGTGGAGTATAATTTTTAAGGCCTGTCCTCTAGAGTAGGACCTGATATTTTAAGCTTTGCATTGATACTGGAGGGAGTCTAACTTTATGTCCATGTTTCGTATATTAAAGAAATAGGACGCTGTGCTAATATTCCAAATGAAGAATTGGTTACCAAGCTGATTACATGAACAACATTTGAGTCATCTACACAAACTACTTACACAAAACTACTCCACAATCAAACAAGAAAAGGATCCATTCACATACAGCTCATGTGAGAATTGGGTTATGTCTGCAGCCATGGTACTCACAGGGTTAATATCCATTTTAGACTAGTATAAAGGAGCACTTAATATTTCCTGCCGAGGGGGGGAGGGTGCAATCCAGACACACTGGGACAGATTTATCAAAGTGTCATTAACAGAAAATGGTGCAAAATACTAAAAGTACAGCAATCACCATGGTACCCAGCAAGTGCATTACATTGGTGATTATACCAGTTTTAAAACTTGCTAACGTTAGCCCACTGTCATTAGCATCAGGTTAAGATAACAAGGCCACGTCTGCATTGCTAGCATAATAAAATGTACATGGAAGGCAGCTGAATGTAGATTTCCTGTTGATGAGGTTTCCTGTTCCGGTACCCACACACGCCTCAATAGGTGAAGCTTATACATCTAATCATGTATTCTCACCGGTATTAAAATAAGGTTCCCAGCTAGAGTAAATGAACACACACACACACACACACACACACACTTTAAGAAATGCATGTATCCTGATACTCAAAGGAGTGAACTATATGCACGCAGAATATCAAAGCAGACTGCGGTGGGTTAAATCATCTCTGCAGGTGGGAATAATGTGGTTAATGGATAAACTTACTGCTCTTGTATGAGATCCAGTAATTCACAGCAATTTAACGAAGCTCGACTACCCCTAGCAATCTAAGGTTTATACCCAATACCAGACCCGAAGCAGTCAGCAGACTAGAACTCACATTAACCTTTAAACAGCAAAACACACACAGCAATTGACAGGCAGAGATTCATCGGAGTTGCTCTCAGCTGGCAGGTGGAGCGTTTTAACTAGGAAGGATAAAAATCAATTATAAAAAATTGGGGGGTGGAGGGGTTTGTTTGATTTAAAAAGTTGATTTTTTTAAAATTTATATCGAATACAATGCTTTTGGAGGAAGGGGGAAAAAATTAAAATAATCGAATGCATGAAATTGTGATTCGTTTTGTAGCACAAGGCTCTACATAATACAATAGTTTTTTGTAAAGAAATTCCATTGATTCAAGTTAATTGAACTTGTGTCTGCAGACATACATGTTGACAGCGACAATGTTTTAAAATAAACATACAAAGCTCAGAAAGACCTTAATCCCACTTTCATTCTGTAAATCTATACACACACACTGAACACCTCTCCTTAAAGGGTTACTCCAAGCACCATGACCACTTCAGTGATTTCGAGTGGTTATAAGGCTTGGAATCTGTATGTGTGGGCTTATGTCAGTTCAATCAGAGCTGACTACTTCAACCAATAAGTGACCAACAGAAGCAGATGTGCTTCACCCAGTCTTTACATTGAAAAAGTGCGATTTATAGACTGCTATGAGGTGTTCACCATAACAGCGAATTAGGTTTTTATACATGCTGCCTGAAGCACTTACTCTATCACAAAGAACAAAAGTCATACGCGTCCTGGTAGCATCCAGAATCACTACAACTAACGAATGGAGGACTCAGGATCCTCCTCCGATGGCGGGTGTTCTACTTAGATTGGCAGATAAGCTGTACAAACAACTGGCGCACCAAATTTCAGGATTTATGTCCAAATTTGAGAAGGGCCTGGTCTCAGTGGCATAGGGTGATGTAACTACACAACGATGGGTTGTAAAAGATTAATCTACATATGTGCATGTGGCAGAACCACCGCTTATTTGAGTGGTTTCCATTTGTATTGCGTGTTTCCCCTTGTATTTCATGTATTGTGCTCAGTTTCCCAGTTCAGGAGCAGTCATACGAACAGAGCCCATTCGTCTCCCGAACAGGGATCACCTCAGGCCCCCATTAGAATGTTCACACCAATAGCATAAGTGCGATACTGCAAGCAAAGTAATTAAGGAGTGCCCCCCTGGGTGGCCACCATTTCGTATAGATGAACGCCAACCAAGGGGAGCATTTGTATCCCGAAAAGAGACGATTCCCTTGTATGGTGTTCGCACAGAAACCTCACGAACGGAGACTGGTCTGGGAAATGTACTTGTGTGGGGACACTTTCAGGGCACAGGCTGTTTTGGAGGACTATGACCTTTTTTACGTGCCTTGGCTCCAAGGCACAGAGGGTCCTGGGGTGAAGATCCCTGTCGTTTGGTGTGAAAAGACCTCTTGCATGTGTTGGGCACTTTCTATACTCGGGAGACAAAGAGACTATGTTCCTATTCCCGTGCCTTGGCTCCCAGGTACAGAGGATCCTGGGATGGAAATCACTGTTTGTTTGTGTTGAAGAACCCTTGCAGGGGGTTATGCATAAAAGCCATGTGTGGCACAAAGTTGAGTTGTACTCCCAGAGCGGTCTCATCCAGTTACGGGGGGTGGGGGGGATGGGTGTCTTTATACTGTAAGTGGTTCCAGGGGGACTGAGGGAAGGAATTAGCGGAGGTAACCGGCCGGGTTACAAATGGTCCGCTACGATGCATATCACAGTTTATGGGTTGATATCCTGAGCCAGAGAACAGTTCTATCCTAAATGTGGCGTGCGATCTGTATCGATATATGCATTTGTAAAATTTTGAACATTTCTGAATTATGAATTATAAAATAAATATTGTAGAATGTAGAACAGTTAGAATTCTTTCAATAAAAATTGAATACATTGAAAAGGCATAATTTCAAAGAGAACCTCTCTCACTATGGATATAAATCCAGTTAATTTAAATCAAATCCACCCCAACCATAGGGGAGTTTAAGATGGAATCTGTGATTTAACGGTTTATCGGTTACGGGCCAGGAGCCAGCACTACACAAAGTCTCTGATTAGTTCTATGTTCAGCCTTGGATGACTCATAGCCTGTGTGTAGTTCAGCTGACAGCATTTTACTGAAAGCTGTAGAGCTCACATCAAACACAACAGCAATGTGCTTAATCCATGAAAAAGCATGAATGAGCCAGACTGTGCACGATAAATTAAGCTGTAATGGGTATGGCTTGATTGTTTTTATTATTTCACCATTTTATTTTTTAAAGATATTAATTAACCCAAAACCATTAGATTGCTCTGTAATTTTATTAAAGAAGTTAAATGAATGAAGTAATTTATGGCAGGAGAACACAAAATAAGTATTCATGGTCTGACTTTATAATAAATGTGGTGAATGTTAAACATTCATCGTGTGCTATTTAGAATTAGCCAGAGACTAACGAACAGCCTTTGTGTTTGGTAAAATGACGTGGATTCATTTAATTTTTAAAGAGAGACAATGCCATCAGCTACACCAACGGTGGGTTTAAGTCCAATGACACGCCAGGCATGTTCCAATATGTGGAGATTTCCTGAAGCTCTGTTTGTAGGCATTTTCCATACTTTATTTAATGACAGTCATGAACGGTTTGCAGGGATTAAAGAAAAAACAATTGCAATGTATGGGCAATATCAAATACCTCCCAAGGCGTTCCTAAGGCAGAACGTTTTCCATAGCATTGCAAATATCCTGGAACATATTACAATTTATCCATAGCATCTGATTTATAACAAATGTGTAGCAATCAGCCAGCCACCCAGGGAAGCAACGCACTGTGTGCAGAGAACATGGTTATTTCTACATTCTGAAAGTTGGACAAGGTTCTCCGTAGATTTGCTGCAACCCTGTGGTCTCTCACCCTGAAGGCAGGATTGGCTCCATGTTCCAGCAAACTCTTCACTGCTCCCAAGCACAGGTTGGAGGCCGCAATATGTAAAGCTGTGCCAAATTCAAAGTCACTGCAGGTAGCATCCACTTCTAAAAAAACAAAAAGACACAGCTGGGCATCGGGGCACTGAATTGCAAACCACACATTTACAGGCACCGCTGCTGTCATCTACTTCCATTGAAAGCATAAAAACATTACTTTCACGTACACAGTCATACCTGGAGACATCACTAATCACAGCATCTGTTTACAAGCCGTGTTCCCCTACAAAACTGCAGACAGCAGCGATCTCATCTGAAGCATTTTGACAAAGAGGAATAAACTACTAATAAAAACTTTCAAAGTATTCTAATTGTAAAGAACCCCTGACAAAAGTGATGGGGTCCTGTTTGTCTGTATATCAATCACACAGCAGGTAGGGGAGTTACAGCCAGTCAAACCTGTATAATTTCAAAACTCTAAAGATGCAATTCTTTTTACCTTTTGCCTTTGCGGCCTTTAGAAGAACATGTACAAGTTCAGGAACATCAAAATAGGCAGCATAGTGCAAAGCGTTCATGTTTGTCCATCGGCTTCGCAAGCTGATGTCTGCACCAAGGTCAATCAGGCGGGAAGCAAACTTCGCAGCAGTATCTGCATCCCCTGCGGCAAAAAAAAAAAAAAAAAAGTCCCAAATAATTTACAAAAAAATAAATAAAAAGCATGCAAATTTCTGTTGCTTTCCCAGTCCACATATTTACTTGCCAAATATTTAACAGCAACCAGTGCCCCCACTCCAACCTCAACTTCTCTCAATGCAGGACTCGAACCATCATTATCTCCACATTCCCAAACTACCAGAGCACCATGGATTACATCGGTCTTCCTTGGTCACATAAAATTTTACAGGTTGGCAAAGCCGGACATACTTGGCACACGATCCAGTTTGATTTTAGATATGAGACTAATGGATTGTTTATTCTTGGCACCATCAGCAATGAACAACTTGTATCTCGTGTAAAAAAAAATAAAAAATAAAAATAAAAAAATAAAAAAAAAAAATAAAAAAAAAATTGCATACATTCAAATAAGTCAGAAAAGATCGCTGTCGAATTTACCCAATACCTATGTATCATGAATATGTGAGTTTTGAGAAACATATATTTTCTCTGAATCAGCTATGCTTTCAGTTCAGATGCTCCGACGATTACAACATTTACTCCTACAAAGTGTGATTTTAACACAGCAGACCATTTCACATCACTATATATTTTGGCTTTCAGTGATCATCTAGTTCATATATTGGAGTTTAGACACTAAACCAAATATTGTTTGCAGTAAGGTTTAAGGCCAAAACACTGGTAAAAAGTTTTTTTTCCCTTGTTCAGTTCTCCAAAATTCCTGGGTTAGAGAATAAATATTGAACTTTGAAGCAGAGGACAATGGGTAACGCCAGGCAAGTCAGGGTCTCCATGGGATCTGGGTACATTTATCAGTATCTGGAAATGTTCCCATAAAGCAAATAGGGGGGGAAATGACCCACGGTTTGCCCATCCATTGTATCGATCATACTTAATAAAAATAAAATAAATAAAAATGTAGACTCCTCGCAAAACCATACAAGGAGGGGAGACGTGCAAATAGAAGCCAAGATTTGGTTTTGCAGCACTCCCACCTCCTGAAGTCAGTGCAGTAAAAGGCAAACATGGACAATAAAATTAAATAAAACAGATTTTTTTACCGATGCCTTGGGCTCCAGACTTGCAGGTGTAATGTAAGAGGGTCATGTCTGTCAGTCCATCACGATCATTGACACTGCATCCTCTCTTCAGAATCTGAAATAGAAAATCCTCTATAAACCATTTAGAGGGAAAAAAGCATCCTAAGCAGGCTTCACATTGCCGTATTGCACTATTTATTATTTTCGCACCAGTCAGCAATGTTAGTGGTAAAACCATATAGTTTTATCATAGGGGCAAAAATAGGATGATCGTTAGAGGGAAACCGTCACACTCTGGAAATTACATCATTGAATAAACTCTTTTTTTTTTATATATATAAATGAGATTTTAAAATTTTCTTTTAAATGTATATTAAAGACTGACCTCACACTAAAAGTTAAAAGGACAACTATAATGTCAGGAAAACAAACTCATTTTCCTGAAACTATATAACCCTTAGGTCCCCCCACCCCCCACCCTCGTGGCCCCCCTCCTGCTGGGCTGAAGGCGTTAAAACCCGTTCAGCCACTTAACTTTATCCAGTGCCGGGCTCCCTCGGCGCTGGTGACCTCTCCTCCCCCGCCGTCAGCTCCCGAGTGGAGCCGAATGCGCATAAGCGGCCATAGCCACGTGTGCTTTAAAAACGCCCATAGGAAAGCATTACTCAGTGCTTTCCTATGGATGTTCTGCACGATGAATGCGATTTTCGCATCCAGCGTCACAGAAGCGCCTCTAGTGGCTGCCAGGGAGATAGCCACCAGAGGCTGCATTAACCCTGCTATGTAAACATAGCAGTTCTCTGAAACTGCTATGTTTACATCTGATGGGTTAAAACCTGGGGGACCTGACACCCAGACCACTTCATTGAGCTGAAGTTGTCTAAGTGACTATAGTGGTCCTTTAAGTCCAGGCAGTGCCAGAGCACACAGTGCATTGGAGGAGGAGAAAAATAAACTTTGCGGTATAATTATCAAAGTATTCTGAAAAGTAATGGTTTAATTGCCTTATTTTGTAATACTTGTATTTATGAAAATGATCTAAAAGTAATCTAAAATGGGACCGGTTTCTTTACGTTAAATTCTTCCACTTTTTTTTTTTTTAGAAATTTCCAATGCAGAAGAGAACCATGAATAAATAAATAAATAAATAAGAGAGCCAGAACACTTTTCAGTCCGAAGCAGTGGAAGAAAGATTAATAAATTCATTGTGTTGCAGAAATGAATGGGGCATATTCAAAAATGAATCTTAGGGAACAAAAGAAACAAAAACCCACACGACATTTCATAATACGCGCTGTATTAAAAGAAGTAAGAGTATTTCTCTTCCTTTCTATGCTGTCTGCAAGGTGTAAAAGGATTCGTTTATAATAATGACTGACAGCCAAGATAAAGGCACTCAGTTCCAGGACAGAGCTAAACACAGTGCACTGCACATTAGATTAGAGTACAAACTGTGCATCAGATACGACGGACATAGGCGAAATTTGCATCGCTGCGACACGGATGCAAGACTTAGGTTCTTTGTACAGTAAAGCTGTACCGCGCATGTTTGTCGAGATTTGTCGAATTTTCACACTGCGAATTCGCGTTGCATGCCCGTCTTTTCTAATGCGTTGTTTGTACTCAAACCTAATGCAGCGTCGAATCTATGCGGTTTCAAAATTTGAATGTGCATTTGATTCAAGTTAATACAGTGTATAAAATAGAAAAATCCTGAACTCCACCAAAACTGCTGTATTGCCCAGTGCTTGTCCAGCCAAAATACAAAAAGATATGTGCGGATAGCACTCCAGGGACTTGAAATAAGATTTAACTTTTATTACCTTATTTTAAAATAACGTCAACGTTTCAGCTGACACGTTGACATTATTTTAAAGTAAGGTGTGACAGAGTGCATGGCACCAAAACTGGATGCCTCCGCCAATCGCCGCTTCCTAGTAGTCTGGAGTATTATAAGCACCGCACCAGACACCATAAGCACCATAGCCCCTTAGCTGCCGCAGCTTGGCTGGGGTTTCGCTGTCCTCCACCCACACTGGACCCAGGATTCAGCTTCCAGTGGGTGGACATCTCCTACTCCAGAGAGTCTAGCAGGTATAGCGCTTACAAGAGCTAGTGATTATGGCCAGTATAGCAATCCGAAGCAGGTATAGCTATTCCCTACAATCACAAGACTTATGACAGTTCCCATGCAAGGGGCACTCCCCCCCGGAACTGAGAGTAAACCACAGTAGAAACAAATACACAATCATATTGGCTCACAGATCCAGGATTCTACCACACAAACTAGGTAAATCCCTCCTCTGTACCTGGGAGATAATTGAGTCAAGTACTGTATTAACTCAATTATCTCCAGACACAAAAACACAAATTTTTATAAAAACCCCAAAATACCTTTAAAACATACAAAACCCCCACAAAAGTTATATCCCCTGATAGCACCGATCGGTTCAGGGATTCAGGAATTTCCTGGAAGTCATAGTTTTGGCCGACCACACGCATGGTCCCATGCCCAAAACAGTTCCATAAAATCGCGGCTAAGTGCCGCTGGGGGAAATCGACCAGAACCGCAAAGTTTTCATGCCGTAAATAGTTCCAGGGCATTCGCGGCTAAGTCTATTCACGGTTTTGGTCCATGCGAATGGCCGCCAGCATCCTGAGCTAGTGTTCGGTTCTTTATGAAGTGCTGAACCAAGGGAACTAGGGGGAATAAAATATGGGTCTCCACAGTTGCTGACCTGGCCCATAGCAGACCCATCCAAGAGCCCGTGGCAAGGTAATAAAAGTTAAGTCTTATTTCAAGTCCCTGGAGTGAAATATATATTATTATTTTTTATTTGTTTATTTATTTATTTTTTTTTAATACATTGTTAAACACAGATCTGCACATGTGAGTCAAGCCATAAGACTTGCTTTTCCCACAGAAATCTCAGATTTGCAGTGATGTTACTACCGCAAAGGATTCTGGGTGGGCATATGCAAATTAGTTTAACAAAGAATCACCTTTTCGTCTCATTTTTCTATTTTAAACATGGATTCCTTGGAGTTTGTCTCTGCTGTATAAAACAGCTTTTAAACACAACTCAGGAAGAGGAGCAAAGCCAGTGACCCACTCATAGACAGCAGTTTTGTTCTTAATGCAACTCATCAGCATGAGGTTGGTAACTGGCATTACTTGTGGAGCACAAACCAATAGAGTTATGGTGGGGAAAAAGTGATTAAAAACCCCTTCCACCTGAAGTCAGTACATGTGATGTTACGTTCATGTGAGATATGCGCAGTAGTTAGCCTTGTTGGGTGCGATGGAATCCCAGTAAATGTTATATACTTATAGAAGTATCACAATAGGCGTATGTCCCGTTTTACACACTTCAGTATTTAACCACAGTTTAAATCCAACATGTAAGGCAGACCCTCCACCATGGCATCTACAAGCAGAGCCCTAGTTACAGCTTAAACAAGCGGTGTTTTGGCAGATTTGGCCTGGTTGCCATTTACATGTGAGATATGCGCAGTAGTTAGCCTTGTTGGGTGCGATGGAATCCCAGTAAATGTTATATACTTATAGAAGTATCACAATAGGCGTATGTCCCGTTTTACACACTTCAGTATTTAACCACAGTTTAAATCCAACATGTAAGGCAGACCCTCCACCATGGCATCTACAAGCAGAGCCCTAGTTACAGCTTAAACAAGCGGTGTTTTGGCAGATTTGGCCTGGTTGCCATTTACATGTGAGATATGCGCAGTAGTTAGCCTTGTTGGGTGCGATGGAATCCCAGTAATATGCACACCACCCTTGTGGGGGTGCAGATGTGTAATACTGGTTGTTCCTAATGTATTTTATGAATCGGTGTTCGCACACACAAAATAAATAAAGTCACTTCCATTGTTTCTGACCTCATTTCCAATGACATCAATGCTTTGTTGGACTTGAGGGACCCATTGTCTTAAAATGGCAAAAAGCTCAGGAATCGAGGTGTTCGGGTTGAACAGAATATCCTGACATGAAGCATCATTGGGGTCAAAAAATGAGAATTCTGTCAAAGAAAGTAGAAAAGCATGCAAAGTTTATTTAATATCTCTGACGTAATGCAACATACTATTAAACAGGATACAGTCACTGAAGATAGAGTCTTCATGAGAATCAATAATGTAACAATTCAACATATGATTTGCATCAGTCAATCACCCATCCCGCAGCTAGACATTCCCAATCCTGTGGAGGCAGAGGAAAGGATGCTTTTAATTCGGCAATCTTCTAAGATGAAAATCTCTGCATAAAGTGTTGTAAATTAATTTAAAAAAAAAAAAAAAATGTCACTCTTTAGATTACTTTTAGGATTCTTTATTAAAAAAATATGATTGAAATATTGATTAAATGTAAAGGGTTACTCCAAGCACCATAACCATTTCAGTGATTTGAAGTGGTCATGGCGCCTGGATGTGCAGTTTAACTTTCAGACGTTGCACATACAGAGTTTAACCCCTTTGTGTGTTGCTGAATGGTTTGCCCTATTACCAGGGAATTGGGCCAGGGTACTCTTTTACATCATAACCATTACAGGGGGCTTGGAGTAACCCTTTAACAGGCTTTTTCAGAACATCCCAAAATAAAAATATGCTTAAGTGGGATCCACAATGTTTCTGCCCTCCTCAAAGCAGAAAATGACTTTAATATAAAAATGCACCAGTAATTAGAAATAGATATTTTCAGACTCTAAGAGTTTTTAGTCGCTAGTAGGCAAGTACATGACCCAAAATAACCTTTGTCTACTCCTGTGATGTATATACACATTGCCCACTCACCGCAGTCTGAAGGCATTGGTGCTGCAGATACACAAAACGTCACGGGTCGGCAAGATCTTGGGTAATAAAAATGGTATCTGTATCGGTGATCAAATCTCAAAAAGACTCCTTCAGGACAGTTAACCACTAAATCCTCAATGGTCATTTTCTAGTGAGTCATCTATTGAGAAGAAAAGAAAAGCTATCAGTAAAACTCTGGCTCTTAGAAATGTTATATACTTATAGGAGTATCACAATAGGCGTATGTCCCGTTTTACACACTTCAGTATTTAACCACAGTTTAAATCCAACATGTAAGGCAGACCCTCCACCATGGGATCTACAAGCAGAGCCCTAATTACAGCTTAAACAAGGGGTGTTTTGGCAGATTTGGCCTGGTTGCCATTTACAAACAAAATGCTACATTAATGAATATACTCACAATGCAAATCAATATGTGGTAAATGAAGGTTATGAGCACATATTGATTTGCATTGTGAATATATTCATCCAAGCACTAACACTTTAATGGTTTTTAATTGCTTTTAATCACATTAATTTTGTATACTCACAATGCTCTTACAAAAGATTAATTGAATACACTTCATCTTACTGAGCACTAGCACTATTTCATTGGTCTCCCACATTTAAGTTAGTGTAGGATCCACCGATATTGGGGTAATGTGATGTAGTGGTGGGGTTAACAGTATGGCCGTATGGTGTAAGTGAATCCCTATTTTTGTTTTTTTAGATAGCCTGATAAGATTATTAGTGTATTTTTATGTGTGTGCCGTAACTTAATTTGTATCATGTGTGAATATTGGTCACTACAGCAGCACCATTCCTGTAGAAAGCATGTTTTGGGTGTGCCCCCAATCCATTTTTCTTTGCTACTCATTTTAGTAGACAAAAACCATTAATTTCCTTCTTATGACGACAACTGTTAAAAAAACGAAGTCAAATTGTTTCTTTTCCAATCTTGTAGGTGAAAAATCCACTAGATGGCACCATTCACAAACAGGGCTATATTGCATCCAACTCATTGCAAAGACACAAGCATGAGGTAATCAAACTTCAGAGAGCCACAGATAATAAAATACACGTACAATTTAATAGACCTTCCACCTGGAGGATCATGGCAATAGAGAATATGCGCCGTGCACTCCACCCAAATAGTCCCGATTTCGGGGGCTTGTCCCACTGTCCTGATGCGGGACACCAGGGATGTTTCCATGGGCAGAACAGCGCGAGTTCAGCATTAGACATGTGAACAGGTACTAGGTCCATGCAGAAAGTGCTTCAGCAACGCTCTCTGCAGGATCCTGTAGGTTGGGGGACGGCCATTATGGGCATTGCCAGGAATGCAAGTTACTGGTGATGTCCGAGAGGCCTGCCCACCCGTTGTGATCTCATCCCGACGTTACATGGTATTGCCATGTGTCCTTGGTAATTTCCTAAGAAAAGCATCTGATGATTGCTTCAGCAAAGGAGGATTGGTTGCGGACAAACAACACCTGTACAGAAGAACAAAGGTAAGTTTTACTACAATTCCCCTCCTACCCCCAAGATTAATAAAAAAAAAAAAAAAGTGAAAGGGTGTTAATCAAAACAGGATTAACATAAATGATAAAAAAAAAAAATTTAAAAAAGTGTAAACATTTTTTTTTTTTTTTAATATACTGCTCCTTTAATAAGACATTAAAGGGACACTGTAGGCACCCAGACCACTTCAGCCAATTGAAGTAGTCTAGGTGCTGGAATGTAAAACAGTTCCAGAGAATGTTTACATTGCAGCTCTAAGTTTGCCCTCAGTGGCAGTCTACCAGACAGCCAGTGGGGGCGCTTCTGGAATCCAAACAGTCTTTTTGTCCGTTATCTGACGCTGAACGTCCTCACGGACCTCCAGCATCAGATTTTCCCCATAGGAAAGCATTGAATAACTTAATTTGTACGTGCATTAGGTCTCCCCCCGCCGATGTCAGGAGCGTGGGCGGAACCTGACCCAGCGCCAATATATTCAGGGAAGCGTCTGAAGGGGTTTTAAACCCTTCAGCGACATGGGAGGGGGCAGGAGGGAGGGGGTGCACTCCAGGATTCTCTAGTGCCACAAATTTTTTTTTTGTTTTTCTGGCACTGGAGAATCCCTTTAATGAAACGGTCTTAAGAAAAGAAAAAAAAAAAATCTGAATTTAAAGCTAAGCCACAACCAAAAGAATGAGGTTTATTCCCCAAATACCAAACACTGAAGAGAACTGATGAATAGCCAATCTGATTTTTTTTTTTTTTCAAGTCAGCTACTTTGGTCTAAATATTGCAAACTAGTTTTTGACATTATTAAATAAGCCCCAATATACTCTTAGTGCCTAGCTATTAAAGAGCTCTGTCACCTTCTAGGGTCTTTGTAGATTTTGATGTGTGGTGGTCCAGAGAAGCAGGGAGGTAAGTTCTCCCTTGCAGCCGCCAACATCTCCACCCAGAGAATCCTTTTGAGCATCATCTACCAGGAGTCCACATCTAAGCTGTACTCTTGGGCATGGACAAAAGTACAACACTAATGTCTACAGAGTATACTGCAAGACCATCCGTAAACACTGCTCTACCTACTAGTGACGGCTGGGGGAATTGACTAAACATGATGGCGATAACGCTACCTTTTACCAAGCAGAGGGAATATACGAAAGACAAAAAGTAGTCTGTACTTTGTATCAGTATGTCTTTTGACGGTGTTGGAATTTCAGTAAAATTCCATCACAGTCAAGTGGAGTTTTTTTTAAAATAAATTTATTTATTGAGGAAACTTACAATTTTCGACAACAATGACAGCACAACACTATTCCCCACGTTGCGCAGGAGCATGGAATCCAAAAAAAAATAAATTTAAATATACAAAAAAAAAAAAAAGGAGACATTTGTTACTATCACATTATAATGCACTTGTTGCAGATTTTACGATACATATTAATAAACAATTTGAACTAAATTAACTTAGGAAACCAAAAATAAAGGAAAAAAAAATTAAACACACACACAAAGAGAAGAGGTAGAGAGGGAAAAGAGAAGGTATTATCTTTATGAATTATTCCATTGACTCATGCAACAACCCGCCAAACAGCTACTATATGTCTGCTGTCCAGTGTTGTCCCTTAGCGTCATGTTGCCTACAGAATACTCTGCCTGTGTAATGTAATCTATTGTGAAATGCTGTGGCATATAAACTGTAGCAGCTCCCACGCAGCTTTATGAACGCCCAATGATCAGAACACTGTCAGTCATGCAGCTGTAATTACTGGGTGCAAACTAATCCTGGCCTCGTTAAATTCGCTGCAAACACTCGACATTAAATAAACACAAAGACTCCATATTACAAAGCATCATAGCTTTAGCAGATATAAAAACAGTCTATCCCTACTTCACCCACTCTCTGCCCTAACCAATAATACCTTCTTAAAAACCAGTTACTGTATGTTAAACAAGGAGCTCGATTGTTGGATACGGAATTTACACCAGATAACATAGGCTTTCAGGACTTACTGCACTTTAAAAAAAAAAACACATAAAAACATAAAAACACACAAATAAAATCCAGTTAAGTGATTCTGGATTATAGGAGAACTGGAATAACTCTCCTGAACACAGAGAATACCCTGAAATACAGAGTTCAGTGTTCACGCCTTTCGGCACAGAGCAGATGACATACAATAGGAAGATATTATATAACGCAGTGAGATCACACGGTTTGGCTGTCTCCAACACAGCCTGTTACAGCATCATCCAGATGTCTGGAAAATGAATGTCAGAATCCAAACAAAACACTGGGCTTGGTGTGTGCGCAACACTGAAAGACATGTTTCTGCACATCCTAAAACAAGTGTTTCTCTTACTTTCCAAATGAAAAAACTGATGATTTTCACCCTTGTAAGACAATTAGCAGCTGCTAATCATGCAGAGTTTTGTTATAGTTATCGTCCTGTATAAATACAGGAGAAAAGGGAGATTAACCTGCCAATTTCTCAATAAACCCCTAAAGCAATGCGATCTGAACACAAAGTTGCAAGAACACATCTTCCAACTCGAAATGTGGCGAGATGTGCTGCAGGCAAGTCTTGGGGCTTCTAGCAAGAAATGCATTTCATTAGTTATATCACAGTCAACATAAACAACTATCGCTCAATTTATAGGGGGGAAAAAAAAATGAAAAATGAAAATTAATAAAATCATATAAATGGAATTCGATGTGAGCGTGAATAAATTGCACTACACAGATATTATCTCACTTTATTTTTACTTTGCTATAGAGATAGTGATATTCAACCAGCCCATCTAATCTGTGCATTATTTTATGGTGTCTGCAATTTGATTTTGTTCTTCAAAAATACAAAACAAATACAATTCTTCTTCTTCTTCTGTAATAAGTTCAAGGACCACTCTAGGCACCCAGACCACTTCAGCTTAATGAAGTGGTCTGGGTGCCTGGTCCAGCTAGGGTTAACTTTTTTTTTAAATAAACATAGCAGTTTCAGAGAAACTGCTATGTTTATAAATGGGTTAATCCAGCCTCCAAATCCTCTAGTGGCTGTCTCATTGACAGCCGCTAGAGGCGTTTGCGTGCTTCTCACTGAAAAAAAATAAAAAATAAAAATTTTAAAAAAATCACAGTGAGAACATGCAAGCATCCATAGGAAAGCATTATGAATGCTTTCCTATGAGACCGGCTGAATGCGCGCGCAGCTCTTGCCGCGCGTGCGCATTCAGCCAAAAGGGAGGAGAGGAGGAGGAGAGCTCCCCGCCTGTCGCTGGAGAAAAGGTAAGATTTTAACCCCGTCCTCTCCCCAGAGGCGGGAGGGGGTCCCTGAGGGTGGGGGCACCCTCAAGGCACTATAGTGCCAAGAAAACAAGTATGTCTTCCTGGCACTATAGTGGTCCTTTAAGCAATAACATTGAGTATTACAGGCAAAAGGCGTCAAGTGGGACTTCTGCATCTAATTTTAGATTCTTTTATTGCTTTTCACATTTTGTTTCAACTAAAGTTACTTTTTATAGCGATTTGCTTTCCATCTGCTACCTGGTACCAGTATATCCTTAGGTGGGAATTATACCACCCATGCTGCTTTAACTAGAGCAAGTCTTGCTCTAACAAATGTAAGTACATTACATCTTACCCTTTTTTTTTTTTTTAATCTATCAGTACTTAATTATACCATTGGAGTTTTTTGTTTTTATTTTTAATTTTTTTTTGTCTCCACATATACCAGGCATATTTGCATTCAATTTGGAGCACCGGCACTGCCTATAGCACCATACATCTTTAGACTGGGATTATACCGTCCACGCGCAATACAGCAGAGCTCTTAGATAGGTCAATCAAATGTGAGTGGATCTCATACAGCAGTTACTTTATAGTTTGTATCGTATTATATACTGTATTGCACCATTATTGTCTTTTCTATTATTCTGAGGTCTAAAGTATTGTACCCTCTGAAGATTTATGTACGTTTGAATTTTGGGCACAGTATACGCCATGCACTTTACGATCTTTCTATCCACGAGGTTTGGGAATCCTTGTATTGTGTACCGCAGCCCTCACCAAGTGACACATTATACTATAGCGAGTGCCTTTTACCTTTGTTTTATTCAGAGATTTATAATAGATATCAGTGTTACAATGTGACTAAAGATAAATTTTAAAAAATATATATTTTTTGAAACAGCAATGTCCTACTTGTACTTATAGCCCTAAAACTTGCACACAAAAAAAACAACAAAAAAAACCTAAGAACATAATATTTCTAAACTCAGGACAAAATGTAAAAACTATTTAGCACGGGTGTTTTTTGGCGGTTGTAGATGCGTAACAGATTTTGGGGGTCAAAGTTAGAAAAAGTGTGTGTTTTTCATCATATTTTATAATTTTTTTTTATAGTAAATTATATTATGATGAAAATAATGGCTCTTTAGAAAGATCATTTAATGGCGAGAAAAATGGTATGTAATTTGTGTGGGTACAGTAAATGAGTAAGAGGAAAATCACAGCTAAACACAAACACCACAGAAATGTAAAAAAGAGCCCTGATCCTTAACGGTAAGTAAATTGAAAAGCGGTCTGGTCACTAAGGGGTTAACACAATAGGGTCTTGATTCTATAATGTTTTCCTGACCCTATAATATTCCTTTAATGAAACAGTTTTAGTGTAGATCATAGCCCTGCAGTGCAAATATCTCTGGATGTGCAGTGTTTCAATGCTACAAGGTCATATTCCATAAGAGGTTTATTTGACGTTTATCTCCTATAGCTGTATATATATTTAAGGTCACAGTGGTTTTATACACTGCCATATTTGTAGCGTCACCGAAGAGACATACATACACACATATACACACACACACACACACTACTTTCCAGTTACCAATCCGTAAAATACAATAAATCCAAAAAGTGCATTCCGGAATCCTAAACGCCAGATAGTGAACTGAAACGTGAATGGTAAAATATGGGCAACAGTAGCAGATCTGGAAAACATTTCCAAATCCAGTCACAAGTCCGCTATCTTAGCCGAAACTTAGCTTTCAGGTTTTAATTTGCTACAATTGGATATGTGTGCCCCAAACTCTCAAATTCTAAGCCAAAATATACAAATTGGAATAAATTCTCACAGTCAGCCTTTCAATTTAGGTTCTTTAACCTAAACTTTTACATTTATTTAGAATTCCCAACAAATTGCACTTTGGTGAATTTCCTTACCAATTTCACATCAGAATTTCAAAGTATCTGTCCTTATTTTGCTGCTAAGGAAATTCAGAATAGGATTTGACAGGTAAATAACTTATTTGCTAGTAGTTCGATTTTTTTTGTTCAGGTACATATAACGGAGATTCATCATGGGTAATTTCACGAAGGAACAAGGAGTAAAAATACCAGAATTTTATTTTCAAAACTGAGACAACAGTTTCAAAAAATTCCCAGATTAATTGGCCGCCACGTTCGCCCGACCTTTCAGCTCCCAATTACTTCCTGTGGGGATATCTGAAGGAGCGGGTTTACGTTAAACCACACACCCTTGAGCAGCTCAATGAGACTATACGTGCAGAAATTCAAGCGCTACAACCTCAAACATTAACTGATATTATTAACAACACAATCGAAAGAGTCGACTACCTTACGACAGAGTAAATGGAACTCATTTAAAAGATGTCACCTTCCGTACCTAAACAAAATCTCCATACGTTAAGCACTCATTGTATGTAATATCATTGAAATTGGTTCGTTAGTAAAAAAAAGTTATTGACTCCTGAAACCGTACTCCGAATTTTGGCTCGCTCTGTATGTAACAGAATAAAAAGCCATACTGGGTGAATTGTGCTGAAAAAGAAAAATATCAAGAAAATACAATAGGTTCCCTGTAAAACAAGCTCATTTTAATATACTTCACACTAGAAGCCACAACAGCAGTGATATAAGGCAACTAGCAAACTTTGCACTGACCTATCCCACAGTGACACCAGTGGATCCAGTGAATATCTGTAAATCAGATTAGCAAACGCAAAAACACACAAGAAGAGAAGTCGGTTTCCCTTTCAGTGAATGCCATGGTGGTTTAGCATATGTTCCCGGCACCCCAGGCACCCAAATCTACAATGACATCTTCTAATATCTCTAAATTTCCCTCAATTCAGTATGGTATAAAAGCCCATGTGGGTACGAGGTATGACTGGAAGGGGCATGCTCTGCTGTGGGTGTATATGGTGAAAGGGGGAATGCTCTGCTGTGGGTGTGGGGGTATATGAGTGGAAGGGGACACGCTCTGCTGTGGGTGTGGGGGCATGTGAGTGGAGGGCACGCCGCTGCTGTGGTGTGTATGTGAGTGAAGGGGGCACGTCATGCTGTGGGTGTATGTGAGTGAAGGGCACGCCTGCTGTGGGTGTATATGAGTGGAAGGGGCCCGCTTCTGCTGTGGGTATGGGGGTATATGAGTGGAAGGGGCAGCTTGCTGTGGGTATGGGGGTATATGAGTGGAAGGGGCACGCCTGCTGTGGGTGGGGGGTATGAGTGGAAGGGGGCACGCTCTGCTGTGGGGGTATGTGAGTGGAAGGGGGCACGCTTTGCTGTGGGTGTGGGGGTATATGAGTGGAAGTGGGCATGCTTTGCTGTGGGTGTATATGAGTGGAAGAGGGCAAACTCTGCTGTGGGTGAAGGGGTATATGAATGGAAGGGGGCTTGCTCTGCTGTGGGTGAAGGGGTATATGAACGGAAGGGGGCACGCTCTGCTGTTGGGGGAATATTCTTTGCCAGGTGTGCAAGGGACATACTAAGGGGGTGGGTAAGCATGCTTTGCTGAGGACAAGGGGGATCATGCTCTACAATGACTGTTAACCCAATTACTGCTAGCAATGCAAACTACATCCTGCTAGAAGTCCACTGATGTTATTCCTTATCTCAGGGCATAGAGGGGGTGGTAGTCCAGTGACTGTTATGGTGGGAGTGGTAGTCCAGTAGGCTAGCCATGGCTGGTATGGTGGTAGTCCAGGGAGCTAGTCATGGCTGGTAGGGTGGGAGTGGTAGTCCAGGTAGCTAGTCATGGCTGGTATTGTGGGAGTGGTAGTCCAGGTAGCTAGCCATGGCTGGTGTGGTGGGAGTGGTAGTCCAGGGAGCTAGCCATGGCTGCTGTGGTGGGAGTGGTAGTCCAGGGAGCTAGCCATGGCTGGTGTGGTGGGAGTGGTAGTCCAGGGAGCTATCCATGGCTGGTGTGGTGGGAGTGGTAGTCCAGGGAGCTAGCCATGGCTGGTGCGGTGGGAGTGGTAGTCCAGGGAGCTAGCCATGGCTGGTGCGGTGGGAGTGGTAGTCCAGGGAGCTAGCCATGGCTGGTGCGGTGGGAGTGGTAGTCCAGGGAGCTAGCCATGGCTGGTGCGGTGGGAGTGGTAGTCCAGGGAGCTAGCCATGGCTGGTGTGGTGGGAGTGGTAGTCCAGGGAGCTAGCCATGGCTGGTG